GCAAAAGTGGTCAAAAAGTACCTGGAAACGCTGAAATGGGAAGTCTTGCCCCACCCGCCGTATTCCCCAGATGTCGCCCCTTCTGACTTCCACCTATTCCGTTCGATGGCACACGGCCTGGCAGATCAACATTTTCAATCCTTCGAAGAATTGGAAAAATGGATTGCTTCATGGATAGCGTCAAAAGAGGATTCCTTTTTTCGAGCCGGGATCCGAAAATTGCTGGAAAGATGGGAGAAAGTTGTCGCTAGCGAAGAACAATACTTTGAATAATATATCTGTAAGCACTTTTTCGCAATAAAGCTTTTAATTTTGGAAAAAAAAAACGGCGGAAGCATAGTTGTACACCTGATATATATTTTATAATGAAATCCAGAAATTTTGTAAGGATTTTTACTCCGATCTAGAGATCTGAGAAAAGATATCGTGCTGTTCAACCTCCAGCTCAGCCTACCACATCGGCCTGAAAAAAATTCTCAGAATTATTAAATATAACAATTTGATTTTGAAACTAATCTAACATGTCAAAAGGTGCGATTTTTTTCTTTTACTTTTATTTTAAATTACGAAATAATACTCAAAACATGTCTGAGTTTTGTCTTGAATGAAAATTCAATGAATTATATTATCGCTGTCTTATCACTTGAAGCGGATATTTGAAACAATGGGTATTTCGACCATAGAAACAACAAACTGGAGAGACTTAAGATTTAATGGCAAATTTGATTACGCTTTAATTGGATCGCAAATGAACGATTAATCTGGGAATGTTGTTAAGAAGAGCTCCTCAATGAGCGAACCATGAAAGGTACAGAAGTGTCAAACATTCATTTAAATGATTTTTTTTTTTAAATTAATGTTAAATCATTTTATTACTTTTTATCGTTTTTAATTAACTTAAGAGTATGCATATATAGGAGGGGATTGACAAAAGTTCGATTAGTTGACAAGAAAAAAATAAAATAAAAAATTTTTTGATATATATATATATAAAATCTTTGGGTATTTATTCGTGTTCTTTGTCCTTTTTTCATCTTCGCTACATAAACGTCAAAAAACCCCAAATTGGAGAAGGAGCTCGGCGGAAAATCGCTTCAGCGGTATTTATACTTATACCCATTTATTCTAGAAGGCCACTGTCTGGTGGCCAGCATTCTACTCACCCACTTTCAGGAGCAAACTGCACAGAGCTAAGCAGTCGGCAGTTATTATTCTTATTCTTGGCTTATTTCGAAATCTACAGTGTCGACTACATCATACACAATCGTCATTGATTTCAATGCATTTCTTATTCCTCTAGATCCACTTCTGAAAAAGTCTTCAAAATCTTGCTTAAAATAAGTTTAAAATATCAAGTTCAGCATTAATCGCATTAATTATCTCCTCGTTGCTATTAAAGATCTACCCCTTTAATTTTTTTTTATTTTTGGTAATAACCAGAAATCACAAGGTGCTCTATCCGGGAAATATGGTGCTGGACGTATTTCTTCGAACCCAGAGATCGCAATAAATTACTCATTATTTCAGCAGTGAGGAATGGCGCGTTGACATGATGTAAAAAGTAGCGCGGCAAATCCTCTTTCCTTCTGTTTTCCAACAAATTTTTGAAAACTTTCGGTAAGCACTCTTCGGTGTACCACTTTGCAGTTACCGCCTGACGCTTTTCCAGTGGAATAGCAGCTACGATTTTAGATCGGGTGAGGTAAACTGAGGTAAAATTACGTGTGGGCTTGGTGCTGTTGGTCTCCATACCATGAATTCCTGCTTATTTTCTGGATCGTACTTATCGAAATAAGATTCGTCACCAGTAAGGACCTTACTTAAGTTCATAGACTGACCAGTTTCGAATTTGTTTGGGAAAAATAGTGAAACAACAACAACAACAACAATTCGTCACCAGTAAGGACCTTACTTAAGTTCATAGACTGACCAGTTTCGAATTTGTTTGGGAAAAATTGAGAAAAATGCACTCCAGCCTCTTTTTGGACCTCATTTAAAATTCGTAGTATGCTTCGACCAGATTTCTTCGTGTATCCCAGATGCTTAATTAATATTCGCGATAAAGCCATGGCATTCAAGCACAATTGCATAGCAATCATTTATTGTGTCAATCGTGGGTCTTCGTCAATTTTGAAGTTCACCAGAGCTACAGTTTCTCGAAGCATTCTCTAAATATTTTTAGAGGCTGCAGATTACGCCGAAACCCGAAGAGAATCACATAGATAATTTCTTTTTTTGCGTTGGTGGTGGAATTTCGTCTGACTTAACCTATTTTGCGATATCTCGTCTTCATTTTAGACGATCGTTCTAAATTTTGAAAGGAAGGCTAATAAAGTAATTGCAAAAGATCTGGTGCTTTTAGATTTAACAAAAACAAATTGAAAGTTACCAGCTGACCGAACTTTTGTTAATCCCTTCGTATCTAACCTTTGGGGAATTCCCAAAATATGCAATTGCAATGTTTGTTGTTGTAACTGAATATAAATATTACGCTATTACAAAAGTGGTTGAGTATTTGTTTTATAAAGTTTGCTGAACGCTGCCTAATTGCAAGACGATCACATAGGACATTCGATCATTAGTAGTAGTAGTTTTGTAACTTAATACACCTTCATACGTATATATGTATTTACATATGTACATGAAAGTTATGTTGAAAAAATAATTTACACAAATATTTATACTCCTCGAACTTCTTGTGTATCGTGGTCGGAGATTTCCTGTGGCCGGAAAAAGTATTAATGGCGAACACGAAAAGTCACAGGGCGATAAATGTGGTGAACACGTTTGTTGTGGTATGAACGTCACCGTTCTTTTGTCATAAAACCGCCAAAAATTACCAAACAACAAGGTACTGTACAAGACGTAGTCCCTGCTGGTAAGACCATGGACCAGGTGAATAATCTGAATAAGGATTTTTTTTACAAAGGTACAGCTACGCTGGAATTAATATGTATGAAGGTACCGAGGTAGTCACAAGCATTGTACAACCCCCACAGTAGAAAAACTTAGCTTCTGTGTTCGGTTTGAGTTCACAATTGTGATCACCTGATTAATTTCGTTCCTCATTTTAGTTGTCATTTACAGAGTTGCATGTTAGAGAGTAGTGGTTAGCATTGCGTACTACCATTTGGTACGGCCGGGTTCAAATCTTGTTGCGACCAACATCCAAAAGTTATAGAAATTTATTTTAAATAAAAAATTAAGTTAAATGTTCTAATTGCGATCGCAACTTGGCAGAGAATGTCCACCCCTCCGTGTGTATTTCTGATATGAAAATCAAATCTCATATAAAAAAAACCAACAGTAGCCGTTCGGACCCGGCTTAGTATAAACTGTAGGTCTCTCCATTTGTTGCAAACCGGAAATTGTAGGAGGAGTTCGGCCGAAAAACGCTTCAGCGGTTACAAAGCGCCACTTGGACAATCGACAAAAGAAACCGAAAAAGAAGGCAGAAGCTTTTTTTCGGGAGAAGCGTTTGCAAATCGTGCAAATTTATTACCAAAATAATGGTTTAGTTCACAGGACGCATCGCCATGTTCACTCTTGTGGATATTGCGCATCCTCCGCCGAATACGCTACTGCGGTTGTAGAGCAGAGTATCGTAGAAGACCCAAATGAATCCATCCGCCATCGCGCGCAACAATTGAAGCTGTGAACATTCACTTTATGGACGATTTTGCGGAAAAATCATGATATGCAGACTTATAAAATCTTACTGGTGCAAGAATTGAAGCCGAACGAGCGCATCGCACATTCGTTGAATGGTAGCAAAACGAGATGGTAACCGCCATTAAATCCTCAAAAAGTCACTATTTTGTGTGCTAAAAGGAATTTTTGGTCCATATTTCGCCGGTCATAATTTTACAACCAATGAGTCTTTTACGGTTTTTACTTCGAGGATGTTAATCTGGCCGACTTTTGGTTCCAACACGCAGGGCACCACATGCCGTACAGCCAAGGAAACAATCAAGCTTTTGGTGTGTGTATCATTTTGCATTGTGGGTCTCCAAGATCGTATTTTATAAACTATATTTTATGTGGTAATGTCAAAACGCTTTTCTACGCAGATAAGCGTGATACGATTGCTGACTTGGAAGAGAATATTTGGCGAGTTATTGTTGGCATGCGGATCTAATGTCTGCAAAAAGTGGTCGAAAATAGCACCACTCTCTATTTCCCAACGTTCTTGAGTGCTCGGCCTTTCTTACGGCACAATATGGTGTATATTGACTTTACACCTACATCCGTATAAAGTCCTGCTCATACTGACTGAAGCCAGTTGATCATTCAAAACACCGTACATATGTCAGCGACGAGGTACATTTCTCACTCGAGGGATATGCAAATAAGCAATATTATCGCATTTGAGACTCCGAAAATACTCAAATACTTGAAGTAAATTTTGTTCAGAGTTGTGATTGGACCTTACTTCATTGAAAAGGATAGTGGCGAGTTTGTCACTGTCGCTTGGGAGCCTTACGGTCGTATGATAACCGATTTTTGTGGCCTAAAATTGAAGAATTGAGGGACTTGAACAATATGTGGTTTCCACAAGATAGGCCAGGTAATCTCTCATCTTGGAGATGTCAATTGACCACCAAAATCGTGCGACTTGACAGCGTGCAACTTTTTTTCCTGAAGTTTCGGGAAAGACCGTATATATGCGAATAAACTTTTAACTCTTGACCATTTGAAAACTAACTTTTGGCAAGTTATGGCTGAGGTACCACCCCAAAGTGGTCAAAAAGTGGTCGAAAAGTGGTCGAAAATTGCCTCAAATGGGAGCGAGGTTTGCAAGCATTCGCAAAGCGATCATTTGAAGGATGTAATGTTGCACATATAATGCCAAAGTTATAATAAAAATTTTAGGAAAAAAAAATATATATAAACCGAAAAATCGATAAAAATCGATAGGTCTGCGTTTATGTACATACATATGTATACGCGTATTTAAAATTATTATTTAATAATTCATTATTTCATCACTTGATACTCACATGCAAATTAGAAGCGAACCTTCAAAGGATTTCAATCGTTAAACTGAAAAGCATTAAATTTTTATGGCCGCAACATTCCATTTATTAATTTCACTTTCTTGACACTTTTAATAATTTTTATGTTTGATTATAATTATGAATGTACAATGAGTACACAAATCTACATAGTATGTATGTATATACTATATTTTATAATAAATGTATATATATTGTAAATATATACATATATATATATATATATATAATGTATGTTTGCTGTTTTATTAATAACAATGCGATCTGTCTTATCAAAACACACAAAGGCAAAGGCAGTCTCGCCACAAGCCAATGAAGAGGTCGACACTGGAGAAGCTGCAGCTCGAATTGAGCACGGCCACTGCGCAAAGATCAACGCACACACACGCGCGCACACACACAGAAGACGTCCGTCGAACCGTAGAAGACACTCAATTAGCACCAATTATTCATGAACTTTAATAAAGTTTTAATTACACTACGCCGGTATGAATATTTAACGCCACAGCTTGCTGGCCAATTGCTAACGATAATTTTGTGTTTTCTTTTTTAGATATTTCACTGTATGTATATATGTATGTGTGTAAGTATATTTTTGTTATTTAAGCACCTTGCTTTTACATAAATAAATTCAGATTTTCAACAAAAATTTTTATTGCTAAATATTTATGTTTAAGGTGATTAGTTTTATGCGCTGTGATAAATTTTTTAAAAGAATTTGTGACTTCGATTGCTAACAAATTTTAATAAATGCACTTAAGCGGTTTACTTTTAATATTTTTTTTTTGTTTATAATTATGTTTATTACTTTTTATAAAATATAAAAATACCGCTAAAGCTCGTACCGTTCGTAACAACGTCCGTAAATGAACTGTTTCCATTGATGGTGCGCTGTGCGCCGAAAGAATGAAGCTTTATTGAACACGACTAGTCTGCAGCGCGTTCGACCCATTACGAATTTGCGAAGAGAATTTGCTCGTGATAAAGTTCTTTTAAGCCAATACAGATACGTGTATTTTGCGATTTCAGAGAGCGTTTTCTGATAGCAAAAGAGCTTGTTTGAGGTGGACTTAAAATGGAAAAGCCGGTCTCTTTGAACGCTATTCCTCTCTACGAATATGAGTTTTCAATTATTGGTATTTTGTTGTTGCTTAAACTAATAATTTTTAATCAAAACTTTCGATTGTTTTCTGTGGCGCGGTAGTCGAGTGCATTGTTTCCGGCAATCCGGAGCGTCTTGAACCCGAGTTTGTCCAAACTGACACCTTAAAAGATTTTCCATAAAGTACTCGCCACTCCATATCGAATGCCAACAACTTTAACCCTTATTTTCACTGCTCGACGCCACTTGGAAATACTAAGTGTAGAAAGGCCGTTTATCACCTGGACCTTCCATTGAAGTGGAAGTCTTCCTCTTCTTCCACCGGCGGGTACCGCATCGAAAACTTTCAAAGCTGTAGTGTTCTTATCCATGCGTAAATTATAACCTTGACAGCATGTCCCCTGTTTCTCAATTCACTTAACTATGTCAATTCTATCCCTTGTATGCCAATGCCAAAGCGGAAAGATCCATAAATCTCCTCCAAAACCCTTTCCGTAGGAAACTCCTAGCACCGACTTAATAGATATTACAAGCCAAAATGCAGGACGGTACCTGTAGAGTTTGGTCTTTGTACCTAGAGAGTGGATTTAATTACTGACTGAGTCCCAAGTAGCATCCTTTGGCAAGAGTTATTTTGGGATGGATTTCCAGGCTGATATTATTTTTGGTGTTGATGCTGGTTCCAAGAAAGACGAAATTATAAACTTAATATTTAACTGTCAAAGGTGACGTGGGCGCCAAGACTGGTAGACAGGGTGCAATTTTTTTTGATGTCAGAAGATATTTCGTCTTGTCTTCGTTCACCATCAAACCCGTTCGGTTAGTTTCCTTATCTGACGGATTTTTATGAAAACCTTTTATATCAAGTGAGAAATATACTCGGAGCATTTGAAATTTCCTAGCGAAGGGTGGCCGCAATCAGAAAAATTTATTTTCTATAATTTTGGATGTTGGTCGAACAAAATCTCGATTTTTGGTCTTCCGAATAGCAGCACGTTATGTTGAAGGCATAATATTCGACTTTATTATTGTTTTACAATCAAACATGGAATTTATAAGACGACCCCATGATTCAGGCATTACTTTGTTGTTGTTAGATACCCAGAATAAACTTGGTCTACAATCAGAAATACACGCGTCACATAAAAAAACAGAGAGTCTTGTTGATCCGACTGTTGGAAGCAAAGGTACAGGAAAGTCCCCCTTAAGTTCAAGTGCAGAGCGAGCTGACTATACAAGAAAATGAGAAAAGACTGACTAGTTCTTCTCAATTCGATTATATTCACGAAAGATACCCTATAATACTCAATAGAAGGAGTACTCAATCATAATTCCTATAACCAATTCTATCCCTCTATATTTTGTGCCGAAAATGGCTTAAAGTTCTTGATCCGCCGTTTATTAATTAATTGAACGCCGCTGCATTCTCTCTGCACACGGCGCAACTATGTGAGGTAAGAAAACTTGGCAGCACTGTTGGTGGAGCAGTTTGCGTAGCCCCAATCTGCCATCGCTTTCAGTTGTCGGGTATTTGTAAGCAAAAACAGTTATTGTTTATCGGCATTTCGGTGTGTGTTGGATACTAAATTTTTACATTTCTCTATTAGTATCACTGCTAATTTAATAAAAAGTAAATGACTTTAAATAGGAAAATAAGTACAAATGTAAATTAAGTGTGTGACCCGTGGAAGATTTTCGTGGCAGCTATATTGCACATATCAGTTATACCACAACAAGTAGACCTTGAGAAGAGCGAGTGAATGTAGTATTTCTATGTGTGTGTCTATTGGCTAAGACACCTTCATACAACAAAGCTTTCCTCTATTAGTTCCGCTTAAAAGTAAATCCAGCAATGACTACTACATGGAGCGTTCTGGCGAAATTAATTGCCCTTGTTTTAGCATTAATCGGTCTTGCTGTGCTAACATCTGGTAAAGTCTTACCTTCCCCAGTTTCAGCCCCATCGGAATCACCCAAAATTGGTCTCTATGAAATCGATGGAAAGGTGACAATACTCACAGTGAATAATTTCAACGATACATTACTACGACAAAATCGTTCCATGCTTGTGGAGTTTTACAATACATTCTGCGGCCACTGTCAACGCTACGCACCACATTACAAAGCTCTGGCCGAGCGTTTGTATCCATGGCGTGAGATACTACTTGTAGCAGCTATCGATTGTAATGCATTTGAAAATACTGGAATATGTCGTGATTACGAAATATTTGCATATCCAACGGTACGTTACTTTTCACCCGATTATGTGTGCAAAGAAGGAAATTGGGGACAAAATATCAACCCACATGTTGAATTAAATGAATTAACAGCAAATCTGTCACAACGTTTAGCCGCGGAAAACAATACCGACAAAATACCAAACTATCCAAATCTGAATAGTCTAACAGAAAATGAAGCCAAAACACTTAATAAAGTTTTTACTACAGATAGTAATAAAAAATTTGTGATATTAGTTTATGAGCCGGAGAATTCCACAGTGGGTTTGGAAAGTATACTGCATTTCCACTTATGGTCCGATGTGCAAGTGCGTCGTATTAACGACATAAATTTGGCTAATACATTCCAAATAGATGGTGGAAAACACAAAATTGCAACTGTTGATCCCCAAGGAAACGTTGTGCCATATGGTGTGACCGAAGACACTCCCCAAGCATATACGTCAACAATTGAAAGTTTGCTCACTGCGCAGGGATTTACACCGCGCACAGTAAAAGGCGTAAAATCAGCTGTTGCAGAGGCTGAAAGTGCCAACAATGAAAGTGAACACGCCGCTACTATTTCAGAAGTACTAAACAACAAACATTTAGTGTATCAGGTAAGTGAGTGTGCACACATGTACTACAGTTGGTACAGTTATACTATCCTCCTTACTGTTATTAAAAAATTCTAATTTAATATATAATATTTGCAATCAAATTGTAAATGATTGCAAGTTGTCGTTTTATATTCTCAAAATGCATACGTGATTATGTTAAAGCTCTAAGGCGTGTACACAGAAAACACTTGTCATCTTTGATATATACAAAATTGTGCCCAGCTTTGTACTTTATTGTGCTATTTGCACGCTGAGTTGTATTATAAGATATATGCACATATATACATACATACATATGTAAATACTTATAAAAGCTGAGGTGATAAATTCTGTAAATAAATAGGTTTACAAATACATCATAAAAAGCAATTAGTATTTCATTGCTTTGTGGTGGGAAAACCTGCTCACAAGTAATTGCTTTAAATTGTAAAAATACTGCATATACTGAAAAAATTGACAGTTATTTGCCTAATATAGTACATTACTATTAAGTAGTCATTCAAAATAATTGTTTTAACTAAATAATGAAAAAATACAAATGAAAAATTCACTGAATTTCGGACAATGATACGTGTAGATCAAATGAAAATAAATCACATTTATGCATACCAAAAGTTTAAAAAATTATAATAAAAACATACATATGTTTTGTATGTATGTATGTACGAGTGCATAAAAAATTTGACTTTTATAAATATTATATTAAAAAGTACATGACTTTAGGGCAAATATTTTTTTTTTTTTTTTGTTTTTATTAAATTATTTGTAATTGCCTATGGAGTGCGAAGCTAATTGCCTACAGTTTTTCAAAGCGCATTAACTTAAAAAATTGGCGTTAAAACACATTTCAATTTTGTTAAAAATATTAATGTACGTTTTTTTGCATACCTAAACGTTATAAATCATTCAATAAGCTAGCTCGGTGTGTTGTATATTATATTTAAATGAGCTTCGCAAACTGTTAGTCTGACTGGGGTAGTAAAATAGTTCCTTCAACCACATTTATACTATATTCGTCTAAACATATATGCAGTTCAAAATTATAAATTATTATTTTTTTTTTTTTTGCTAATCTAAGCATTTTGCGGATGTGTCGTTGTTATTTGCTGCTGTTATCAATTGATTAAAAAAACACGTAGCAAAAAACCTTGCCGTATACCTACATACTATATATATGTAGGTTTGTACAATTAGTATGTTTTCATATATGTGTGTCAATAAAAAGGTTGATTTATTTTTTAAGAGTTCATTACATGCACTAAAATACTGGAACATTGATTTAATTTTAGTTCTTACCTTTAAATGATATCTAAAGGGTTTTCCAATAAGAGGGATATGATTTCTAAATGTCGTTTTGGCCATTTTTCGTATGACTTGATCTGTCTTTTTGTTTTTCATTGTATTCAGTAATGTTTACAAATTCATCATGGCAAAATATACCAAGATCAACGTTGCTGATTTTGCCTGGGAACAATTTGAAGTAAATCATCTTATTCGTTGAGGCTCACTTTCATCTGAGTGGTGCGGTAAATAAACAAAACTGCCGATTCTGGTGCCGAGAAAATGCACAAATTATTCATGAACAACCATTACATTCAGCTTAATTGATAATTTGGTGCGGTTTTTGGTCTGCTGCGGTCCGTACTGTTTTTTCTAAAGGAAGCTGATAGCACCATTACTGTCAATGGAGAGTGGTATAGATTGATGATAACCAACTTATTATCGTTACAATTGAAGGAAGTTGATCTTAACAACATCTGGTTCGAACAAGACCGGGCTACGTGTCACATAGCACGTGCAACAACCGGATTATTGCGAGAAACGTTTTGATATACGATTATTTCAAGAAACTACGACTCTGAAAGAGCTCCAAGAAACGTGATAGGATGAGGAGAAGAAAAACGTCTTCTGCATATCATCATTGTGTCGTTACATCAATCGTACAGGTCACTAAAAAACTCTCCTTTAAGGAACCGTGATCCGACACCATTAGACTACTTCTTTTGGGGTTATATAAGGTCATTGGTCTTAATTGGCAATTAACCAGATTCTCCTCATGCTTTAAAATCAATCAAGTGCTCAAAATTGGATTCAATGAATTCGTTCCTGCGAAGGTAGTAGTGGAAACCATTTGAATGATGTTATATTTAGAAGTTACTTGTATCGATTGAGCTTCACATTAAATAAAAAACATTTGAATTTCCTTAACAGTTAGGGTTTTTTTTTTCAAAGAAATCATATCACACGCATTTATGTGGAAAGGATGTTCCGATTCTCAAAATAAACTTCTACCCAAGAATGAAGGGTACGATACCTCATTATCTTGTGATAAAACGCAAACACTCAAATACCATTTTTTATTATTTTCTTTTTATATAGCTTAGGTACTTTACTTAAATTTCTAATAAAATAAATATAAAATATATCGATGACGCTAACAACTTCAAAACTTCAAATATCTCCCTTCCGCTTTTTTGTGTTTTGAATTAGAGCTCGGATGGGAGGTTTCGTCGCATCCACCATATAGCCTGGACGTAGCGCCAAGTGATTACCACCTGTTCCTGTCAATGGCGAATGCCCTTGGTGGTGTGAAGTTGAACTCAAAAGAGGCTTGTGAAAAGTGGCTGTCCGAATTCTTGGCAAATAAGGAGGGGGGCTTCTACGAGGAAGGTATTATGAAGTTGCCGTCTAGATGGAAACAGATCATCGAACAAAACGGCGCATATTTTAACTAAATCCGATCACTGTGTAACACTTTTTATAAATCATTGAATGAAGAGATATTTGACAACCTTATATTAGTCGTTTATGTAGTTAACGATCTGTCGAGTAGTTTGCGAGAACAGCAGATCAAGGGATAGAGAAAATCGTTAAAATAAGTACAACGAATATTAGAACCGTTAAAATGATTTCTAAGTTATAAGACCGATTCGAAAATCATTAAAATGTAATACAGAATCCCACCACTGATGGTGAAATAAAAAGTTATTATTAACTTAAGAGATTCAACCAGTGTGACAGCTCTTGCTGTAATTTTTTGAGTTTTTTTTATTGAAAACTTCTCCACGGAATTTTTTACAGTATCAAGGTTACATTTGTTTATAAGCATTCATTACATTACATTCTTTTTTCAAACGAAAATCATCTTCTTCTTTGATGCTCACTTTGTGTTCGCGACGAGATCTGCGCTCTCCCGCTGTCATACTAACTGCGTTCAGCGTCGTACCTGAAATGCAAAAAGATAAAAAAAAAGTTGTTAAAGAAGATTGTATGAACTATAAAGGGACCCCCGATTGAGGTAAAAAAAGAGATCCCAAAAAAAATGTAATCGTCTTGAAAAAAATGTTAAAATTTAGTTCAAAAATCTGACGGTATTTTCCATGCCAAATTTACAATTTTTATGCGATCAACGATCCAAGGTCACTTTAAGCCTGAAATAAATGCGAATTCATCGAATTCAGAAAAATGGTTTCAAGTTGAACGGATGATCAATTTTTAAGTTGTAATGACAGCAAATTTCGAAAACACTGTTTCGAGAAAAACAGTTTTGAAACAAAAAAACTTACACCCACACGTTTTAGGATTACTCCAAAATCATTACAGTTACGCATGTAGGGTCGAAGTGTGGTTTTCTATCTATCCAAGAATGTGAGAAAAATCGTTGTCTTGAAAGTGCCACACTGGGGTTGACTCTCTTAATCAAAGAAACCCCATCAGCCACACAGGAAAGACAACATACCATCAACGAAAGAACTTTGTTGCTCACTTTACGGTTAGTCTGAGAAGTGAAATTGGAATTTACCCTTGTTTCTTGTATAACTTTGATAAGTACCTAATAACAGGTTTCTCTTTCTTATCGATCGAGTTGAAAGACTAGCGTAATCACTGCTGATGAGCAGCAAAATCATAACCCCTGCGGGTTAGGGGCTCAAGAATTTACCCGCGGTAAGGCATGCCTGTCGTAAGAGGCGACTAAAATCCAATAGTTCCCGCGACAGTCGGGTCTTTATACCGGAACGACCCGGATTTTTATCTGGCCAAGGACTGTCACTCCCGCAATATTCCCCAAAAAGTATAATTAATAATAATTATAATTTTGCGGCTACAACAACAACAACATGCAGCAAAATCATCGTCACGGGTTATCGCTATAGCAATAAAATTTATTATATCAGTTGTAAAAACTACGCATAGGTACCCTGTGCCGTGGGCACCTCAATAAGAGACGTTATTTTGGTATTCAAAAAAAAACTTTACCCTTGAAAAATCGATGGATTCGCTGCTTGTGTGGCACGTAGTAAACGCTGTCCCATACAATTCCTCCAATAAAAAAAATCATTAATCATTTCTCGATAGCGCAATTCATTCAACGTAACTATTGATACAGCCTTATTTCTGAAACAGTAAGGTCCAATGACCTCGCCGGAGCATAATCTGCAACAAACAGCTCCATATTTAATACTCGAAAGTGGCATCTACCGGAATAGCAGACTGTGCAAAACAACACCTCTATTTGGAAAACCCTTTAGAAGAAAAAAACAACTCTCATTTTCAAAGTCATTGACATAACATCTGTCCAAAACAATATTTGATTTTTAGAAGTATTTAATAAAACCAAAAAATGTTTGCTTTAATAAAAAAGAACACTTCGCAAGTGTACTTATTTTTAGTTTTTTATTAAAAGAAAGTAAACAAATTCTTTTGTATTAAATTATGATTGTTTTTCTAACTTTATGGCATGGCAACTGCAATTCATGCAGAGTCTCTATCAAAACAGTTTTAAATATTTTTTAAAACTCAGGCCAGATATGAACTTGAATAAATTCCGGATTTGCGCCAGTACCGGCTTTTGTGTTGTCAATATTTGCCTATAATAAATTAGGTTAAAATATTTATAAGTGTTGTTTGGCCGTTATAACCGAGTAGTTAGTTAACGGTGTGCACTGCCATTCGTAAGTTCAGGGTTCGTTATCTGTTCTGACTAACATGCAAAAATTAAAGAAGATTAATTTTGGCTTTCTAATTTCGGTCGCCCTCTGCAGAGAATGACAACTCTTTCGAATGTATTTATGGCCAGTGTTGCCAGATAGAGCTATTTAACGCCAATTTGGCATAGTTATTGCCGGTTGGCGATAAGATTTTATTCGTTGGCTACATATAGCCTTGTCTATATACTAATTTTTGCACGAAAAATTTTAAATTGGTTTATAATATTTTAGTGAAAATTTATTTAAAATGGAAAAAATTATTTTAAATTGAAAAATTTATTGTTTTTGTGATTAGTATAAAATGAAAAAATTCTGGCAACACTGTTACTGACATGAAATAAAAGCTCCTCACAAAAAACCATTGGCCGTGGCTAAGTATAAACTGTAGGTCTCCTCACTAATTAGAGGAGAAGCTGGGCCGAAAATTGCTTCAGCAGTTACAAAGTGTCAATAATAAATATATGTTTCACCTTAGAAATAAAAAATTTTGCAATTTAATTAAGCTGATCTCAAATTAATATTTTATTAGCATTTTATTATTTGTATAAAAATGTCTTTCCACAAAAGCTTTCACTATTTTGCTGATGGAGTATATATTGGGTTGCCCAAAAAGTAATTGCGGATTTTTCATATAGTCGGCATTGACAAATTTTTTCAACGCGGAGCAGGTTGCTAAAAAGTTACGAGATGTGTATGGTGATGAAGCCTTAAAAGGAAGACAGTGTCAAAATTGGTTTCGCAAATTCCGTTCTGGAGATTTTTCACTTAAAGATGAGCCACGTTCAGGTCGGCCAAATGAAGTTGATGATGACCAAATCAAAGCATTAATCGAATTGGATCGTCATGTAACTGAGCGTGAGATAGGAGAGAAGTTAAATATACCAAAATCAACCGTTCATTATCACATAAAAAGTCTTGGACTGGTGAAAAAGCTTGATATTTGGGTACCACATGTATTGAAAGAAATTCATTTAACACACCGAATCAACGCTTGTGATATGCACCTTAAACGCAATGAATTCGATCCGTTTTTAAAACGAATCATAACTGGAGATGAAAAATGGATTGTTTACAACAACGTTAGTCGAAAACGATCATGGTCCAAGCATGGTGAACCAGCTCAAACCACTTCAAAGGCTGATATCCACCAAAAGAAGGTTATGCTGTCTGTTTGGTGGGATTGGAAGGGTGTCGTATATTTTGAGCTGCTTCCAAGGAACCAAACGATTAATTCGGATGTTTACTGTCAACAATTGGACAAATTGAATACAGCCATCAAGGAGAAGCGACCAGAATTGGTCAATCGTAAAGGTGTCATATTCCACCAGGACAACGCTAGACCGCACACATCTTTGGTCACTCGCCAAAAACTGAGTGAGCTTGGCTGGGAACTTTTGATGCATCCACCATATAGCCCTGACCTTGCACCATCAGACTACCATTTATTTCGATCTTTGCAGAACTCCTTAAATGGTAAAACTTTCGGCAATGATGAGGCTATAAAATCGCACTTGGTTCAGTTTTTTGCAGATAAAGGCCAGAAGTTCTATGAGCGTGGAATACTAAATTTGCCAGGAAGATGGCAAAAGGTTATCGAACAAAATGGCAATTATATATTTGATTAAAGTTCATTCTAAGTTTTATTAAAAAATCATTTACTTTCTTTTAAAAAATCCGATTTGGGCAACCCAATATATTTTATATATATATATATTTTTTTTTTTAATTTATTTATTTATTATTTAAGTGGTTACACTTTTAGTTATCAAGTTATTCCTGTATTTCCTGTTATTCCTGTATTCCATTTGTATTTTAATTGAAAAAACATTCAGTTTAGATGCGGAAATTTCAGCGTTGAGGATTGTCCATAAAGCGATGGTCATATTTTAGGCCTTTGGGGCCTCTACCCTCCCTTCATGTGGTCCAACGTGGTCTGTACTGTGGCTCCGCTCTCCACTGGCCGTTCGAACGTGTGGCTTTGTTTCACACTTCTTTTCGTTTTCTACCAAACATTTGTTAAAAAATATTTTATTCAAAATGAACGAGATAACATTTTTATGCTCACAATATATTCACATATTTCAATTAACTTATTTAGATGGTTGTATCGGATGCTTCAATCATTGCTGCGGTTTTTTTTTACTCTAGTAGACCCACGTACGTGGGGCAGCTGACGTTTTCGCGATCTAAAGTACTTAATTAAACAAATGTATAGTTTTATGCCTTTTTATTTTTCAATACAGTCACCCTCAAGTGAATTACACTTTTCAAATCGTAACTACAATGCCTTTATAACACTGAAAAAATTTTCTTTAAATTTCTCTTTAAAATGGGTTTTAAAACGATTTTATCTCACTGTTGTCTGAAAACCTTCGTCCTCAGTAAAGAAGTAAGGTAAAGTAAAGAAGTTAACTAAATTTGAGAAAAAGTAAGAGTCTGGATTGTAGGGCAGATTATCAATTTCTGTAAATCCAGTTGCTTTTAAGGCAAGTCGAGCGGTTAAGTTGCCACGTCTCTTTCTTTGGTACGGCTGCCTCATGCTCCTGACTCAACAAATCAGCATAATACTGGCCGTTCATTGTAGTTCCTTTTGACATTTAATTAATTAGTAATATTCCCTCGCTGTCCCGGAAAACGGTATCCATTATCTTCAACGCCGACTTTTCCACTTTGAATTTATTTGATGGTCCTTCCGCTTTTTTATTTACCGCATCGACTCCTGTCACAACTCTCCAAGTGTCGCTCATTCTTTGCTAATTTGCAATCCCTCTGCTATCTTCCATAATTTCATTCTTCGATCAGCAAGTAGTAATTTTTCGACTTTCTGAACTATTTCTTCGTTCACTATCGTCGCTGGGAGCCCCGGGCGGGGTCATCTTCACAGGTATATCTTCCTTGTTAAAACATTGTATATGATGGCGACCGCGGTAGCCGAGTGGTTAGCATTGCGTACTGTCATTCGGAAGGTTCGGGCTCAACTTGTATCGTACCAACATCCAAAAAATTATAGAAAATTCATTAAATTCAAAATATGTTAAATTTTCTAATTACGGCCGCCCTTCGGTAGAGAATGTCCACCCCTTTGAGTGTATTTCTGTCATGAAATAAAGGCTCCTCATAAAAACCATCAGCCGTTCGGGAGCGGCTTAGCATAAGTCCCTCCATTTGTTGGAAAAACATTAAGACGCAAAACCACAAACTGGAGGAGGAGCTCGGCCGAAAATGATGGAGCAAAGTCCTGAAAAACCGATGAAGTTTCTTTAAAAAATTTTTCGGCTACTTCCATTTTCTTACAAGTAACTCAATCACAGTGCGGTGATCCAAATTGCAGTTTTCATTGACATAGTATTGTTATTGCTCCAGGAACAAATGTTAATGAACCTAATAAAAATAGTTGCGTTTGCGCGTTCCTCCACCCATTTGTGGTGTGTTTTTCGATGTTTTTTCCCCCAACAAATGGAGGGTTCTACAGTATATTCTAAGCGGCCTCCGAACTGCTGCTGGGTTTATAAGAAGAGCGTTTATATACTCAGAGGGTTTGACATTCCCTGCAGAGGAGAGACCATGCGGGATGAGTGGAAACTTTTTTTGTCGCTGAGTGTACATAAAAATATGCACATGGGTATATGTACATATATACATTTTTATATAAATATTTACCTACATATGTATATTCGGAATGTGGAATAACGTTTTAACACGACTACAAAACCACACCAAGCTGTCCAAATATTTGAATTCCCCTTCAATCTAAGGCATTTCACATATGTATGTAAAAGTCACTTTATTTTTGTATTTCCACAAATATAAATATTTATTTGCATTTTCTGTTAAAAACAAAAACATACGTTCACTTTCAGGCTGATCTGGAAATGGCCATTCGTCAAATTCTGCTCAATGAAGTACCGAAAGTCCACGAAATAAACGGTGAACAGTTATTGGCACTACAACGCGTGTTGGGCGTACTGCAACGCTACCATCCACTTGGTCCAGAAGGCAAGACGGTCATTCAGCGTCTATATGAATATGTCTTAAATAGAAATGAAACCATCAACGGCGCCGCATTCCAAGCAGAATTTGATACTTTAAATCAGACTCATGGACCAATTTTCTCGTCGAATCATTTTGTTGGCTGTGTCACATCGGAGCACAATAAACGTGGCTACACTTGCTCACTGTGGACCCTATTCCATTATCTAACAGTACAAGCTGCGCGTTTGGAAGTCAGCAATGATCCGTTGGAGGTGTTAACGGCCATACATGGTTATGTGAAATACTTTTTCGGCTGCACACATTGCTCCGAACACTTTCAGGTGAGTGGAAGTAATTTCCAGGAAGCAAACAAGACATAATTTCGAGTGAAACCGTACACTAAATACTTATTTGATATTTACATTTACTCGTTTTAAACGCCAGGCGGCTTGCCTGACTTTCACAGAGGGATTAAATTCAAATTATGTCGGTGGTAAACCTGCTCGCCCGAAAAAGCGCCATGTGTATGGGTGTATGCATTAATTCGTGCGGTTTTTTTTTCGAAAATTAAGACTTTATTGTGAAAAAATGATTTTAACCGTCTGTAAACGGTTCCTTGATCAACTCCTAATACTTTTGCAAGTTCTCCTTACGTCTGGCATGCATCTACGTCGAGCAATGTCTACAATTCTTCGTCTTGAAAGTTTTTGGGCTGTCCGTCGTCTCAGTCGCCACTTTTAAACAGTGCAAACCACTTTTGGCACGTTCGTTCGACTAAAGCATGCTCACCATAAACGTCCAGTAAAATACGATGGCTCCGTAGCGTAGAGTGGCGGTAGCACTCTTCTTCATGTTAAAGTAATGAAGAAGAACTCCCCGCAAAATCACTTTATCCTGTACGAATTTCGACATTTTCAAATGAATGAAACAAATTGTTGTTCACGCTAAAACAAATGACATATTTTTATCAATAATTTGGTTGTGGGCATGAGACGGGGTCGCCGCGAAATTCATACCAAAATTGCTCAATTGCCCCTGCTCACATATCGTTGCTTTTGCGCGACTTTTTGGCCAAAAACAACACACTAATGATGCCCAGATCTGGCCCCCTGTGACTTTTTCTTGTTCCCTAAACTGAAGAGGCCCATGAAAGGACGACGTTACGCTACGATTGACGAGACAAAGACCGTTGGCACTAGTGTATAATATCTCATCGGGATTACTTTGAAGGGGACAAAATAGATATTCATGAATAAATAAATAATTTTTGAAAAAACACAAAATTCGCGATATATTTTAAACACACCTCGTATGTGGATATATATAGACGTAGATATATACATATATCTCAACTAAACTATTCCAACCAATCGTTAGTTAACACCCTAAGCACTGCTGAACCTTCCATTCGCCAAAGCCACTTTGTAGTTGATGATAAAAAAAGTAAAAAACTATTTTTTAACGATTATGAGCTTTATTTGCATTTAAATGAGCCAAATAAAACGACTTTAAATAGATGAGTAACCATTTTTTTTATTTTAATTTTGCATCTTTATGGTAATTCTACACTTAGTGAGTTCATTTAAATTCGTCATATTATCAGGTGGCAGTATATTTAAACAAGAAAACGAAAGCTGGCAGTCATACAAATGTGAATACAAACATATGTACATATTTACTAATGAAAATAAATAAATTTCGTCACAATTTTGTTGACACTATTAAAATATTCAACAACAAAAGTAAATAATAAATACCTTTAGATACTATATATATAATCGTATGTATGTATGTATACATTTATGTATGAAAAAAATGTTATTTCACCTAAATGAGGGTTTTAAAAATGATTTTACTGTGTATTTAACTTTTTGTGGCGATTTTTTGGACTTTTTTGTACAATACACGGTGTGTCCCAAAAATAACCGAACTTTTTGGATATAAAATAAAATACACATTATTACATTACATTATCTTTGAAAGTTATTATTTATTCAAAATAGGTTCCATTTGACTCAAAACAACGTTTGAAACGATCAACCAGCGCATTCATAGATTTTTTTATGTCATTTATAGAAATGTTCTTCAGTACCTCGGTTACGGCTGCTTGAATGGCTGGGATATCATCATAAAATGCTCCCTTCATCTTGGTTTTCAGTTTTGGAAATAAAAAATAGTCACATGGTGATAGATCAGGCGAATACGGAGGATGGTCGATGAGAGAAATCCCTTTTTTCATTAAAAATTCGAGCGATTTTTTGGTCGTCATTTAATTCATGTGGAACAAATCGCGCACAGACCTTTCTTTTCCCCAAATCTTCAGTTAAAATTCTCCAAATAGTGTTTTTACTCGTATTCAATTCCTCAGCCAACATTCTCGTAGTAAAATTTGCATCGATACCAATGATTTCACGGACTTTTTCCACCAGTTCAGCACGATTACTAGTTTCTGGACGTCCTGCTCTAGGGTCGTCATTTAAATCCTCACGACCATTTTTAAATCGTGTAAACCACGTATAAACTTGCGTACGACTCATACAATCATCACAATAAACTTTTTTCATTAATTTTTTTTTCAAGTTTAACACAAAATTTTATATTTGCTCTTTGTTCCGTCTTATTTTTGAACCATTAGCACACTTTTGGTTTTATTGAAATGGCTGTCAATTTTACATCTGTCATCCGAATTAGATGTTGTTAGGCGCGTTTGGAAGAGGATGAATGTATCTTTTTAATAGATGGCGCTGTATGTTGTATGATTTAAATAAAAAGTTCGGTTATTTTTCGGACACACTGTGTATATAGTTTTGTATGAATACTTATGCTATAATATATACTATAGTACGAGTACATATGTATGTATTTTGGTCTCTTTTTGCCAACTTTCTCTTTTACTTTTTCATTTGCAACCTTTTGTTGTGTATTTACATACATATAAACAATAAATGTAAACAGTTAAAAAGTCAAGCACCGTTAATTATAATTCTAAATACTTATAGCCAATATATGTATAGTACATATGTACATAATATGATTATATGTGACTACCCACATACAGTGAAGTCAACCGAATAAATGTTTTTTTTTTGCTAGTTTTCCTACGTGCATACAGGGTCCTCCAATAAGAGGTGTTATTTTGATATTCAGAGAAAAGTGGCATTTTTTGAGATAAATGAACGGTTGTTTATTTTTGATTTTAAGAGAAAGATAAGCCGCAGCGACTCTGCTTACAGAAGCGTATCCGTTTTATGAAATTTTCCATCACCAAAAAGCAAAGTGGCTCTTTGTGTGTCCTCAGCAGCTCCTTGAGCTCCATCTTTCAGATATTGAATCGCCGCCGGCCTGTTGGCGTAGACCCCCAAAGGAAGGAGTCGCATGATGTTAGATCACAACATCTCGGTCCGGAAACGTTTCTTGCAAGAGTTAAAGCCAGTCTAGAGGTTGAAAAATAGACTCATTTTCAAAAATTTATTGTAGGAATATGGGAAAAGGAACAGAATTTCTATTTAACCATTTCATTGAAGATATATTGAAGTATATAAAAATATTCTTTAATTGTTATTTTGTTACAAAATGGCGGTGATAAGGTCCATTATTTAATCCATGTTTTTTTAAAAGGCGTCCACGAGAGGACCGATTTCTTTTAAATAACGAGACCAAGAACAGCAAAGCAAAAAGTTTTATGATCTACAAACTATGATCTTCCGAAGAACAATTTTTGTATTTATTTTGTAAAAGCGACTGAGGGGTTGCAGCAAAATAAAAACTTCAGCTATTTGAGCTTCAAAGATCGATGATTTCCCTGCTTGTATAGCACGTAGCGCCGTTTTCTCGAAAACTAACATTATCCAGATCAATACCATCCAATTCCGGTCATATAAAATCAATAACTATTTCTCGATAGTGTAAACTGTGGGTCCATCCATTTGTTGGAAAAACATCCAAACGCAAAACCACAAATCAGAGGAGAAGCTCGGCCGAAGATTGCGTCAGCGGTTACAAAGCGCCAATTGTATATATTTCTCGATAGCCAAATCCATTCATCGTCACTGTTGCTCCAGTCTCATTTTCGAAAAAGTAAGGTCCAACGACTCTGCCGGACTATAAACCGCACCACGCATATATACAAGATCGAGATAATAGTAAAAGTTGGCTTTAACAAGCTCCAGATGCGACAGTTTTGCTTATTGACGTAGCCATCGAGGTGGAAATGGGCCTCAACAGTCAATTTTTTTGATTTTTCGATAAAATTACGATTTCATTTTCATGCATTTCAAGGACCCAAGAATCAAAGATACGACGTTCTTGATGATCGGCCGGCTTGTGCTCAAGTGTAAACTGAACTTTAAGACCCAAGTCTTTATGCAAAGTGCGGCGTAATGACGTTCGTGGAATGCCAAATTCCAAAGAACGATGAGGAATGTGCAAACCTGGCTACAGCAGCAACACTTTTGGCTACAGCAGCTATACTCTGAATTGTCCTTTAGCGACGTGCACGTGCTTTATTCATCACATCACTAACTTGTCCACACAGCTCCATTTTTTCTACCGATTTCTGTATTTGCGGCCCGACAAGTTGCTTCACGACGATCGAAAATTTTTTTAGTTTTACGAATCGTCTCTGCCAGGTGTTCAGCATTTTTATAGTAAATTTTAATAATTTCAATTTATTACTGGTGTAGTTTTTACTTGACAAAAGTCGGAAAATTACAACTTCAAAAGTGACATCTACCTAAATAGCAGGCTGTGCAAAATAACACCTCTTATTGGAAAACCCTTTATGCACTTATATACGTATTATTAATATATTCCCATTCATTACATAATATAAATGCTTATTCATGGTTTTTTAAATGCCACAGTTCAGTGAACGGCTATTTATGAATAATATTTATACAGGGCGCATTTAAACAATTTTTTTTTGTTCATAAAATACCTTTTTTATTTTAAAGTTAAGTCTCTTAGCATTATATTTTTGTGAAACATTCCATCAGTCAAATGACCACTTCGAGAAATTTTTGCAGAACTTCGACGCGTTTGAGGTAACTCCCGACCACCCTATGGCACATATTGGGCGGCATCTCGGCCATAACTAGACGAATGCTCAAATGCTCAAGTTTTAAAGCTTTATCCGCCTAACCACCGTCCTAGCTCTAAAAAAAAGGCTCCAACGGTGTCAGATTTCACGATCTCGTTAGCCAATTGACATCGCCAACGCGAGAGATTATGGGGCCGGGTAATTTCTCTCGAAATAAAGTAATTTTCGCTCGTGTTGTGTGCAATGAGTGGCACCATCTTATTGAAACGTCATATTTCAGACCAAAAGGTTGGTTATCATACGACCATATACTCCTAATTGGTAGTTATAAATAGTCTCGTTTTCGAAGGAGTAAGGTGCAATCACACCTTCACCAGAGAGCACGGTAGTTTTTGGTGCCTCTCTTGAATTGTTCAATTCTTAAATTCGGCAATACTTATTTACGTATTTCCCGCGTGAGGTTATGCGCCTCCTCGCTGAAATTTTGTTCGAAAAATCGCCTTCGACAATAACAAGCTGAGAGCACCGTAACAGGCAATCTCCTAATTTCACCTGTACATCAATTGATCATTGAAACATATGGACCATAATATTAGGCTGTGTATGTACTGGGATGCTAAAGCAGAGAACATCTGCAGATATCTGCTTGAAGCTCACCACAGAGCCGCAAGAAAAGACGAGCTACCTGTAGGCCCTAAACGCTATTCACAGAGAGTCCCGTTATTGACGTAAATGCAATCCAATAACCGCTCATAGCAGACAAAGAGCTCAAGCTGTCTCGGGAGGCTTGAGTAATAGTGTCACAATTAAGGTCTTGATACTGTAGCTGACTCAATTCCCCTTTTTCCAGACTCGTGCGCGTCATACTGACAGATGTCGATAACTCATCCGTACAGCCTGCGCCGATTATCGTGTGATAAGCTTCCTAAAAATCGCATATAAATTCTTATCTAGCGTACCAAAGAGAGAAAGACTCGTGGAAAAATTATCGGCCACACCACCTCTTTGTTGCCTGCGATAGCACGAAGATGGGCTTCCTACATAGCACTTTGATCTCCCCAAGTCCCTCAGTCATACAGAGTGAGTTTGTTGTGAGAAATTAAAAAGAGCCTGCGTAGCTAATTAGGCAAAATACAGTCTATTGTATGGAAGCTTAACTTGTAGCAGTTGCGGCTGGAAAGATCTGGTGCCGCGGAGAAAAATACGCTCGCGGAGCTGGTTAAGGCAAGGCGGGAAGTATCCCGATAACTGTGTTTTAAACTCGACGAGTAGAGTGGACACCCGGGTGACGGATCCAAAGCAAGACAGTTGTTTAGGTATGCCTGTATTCCCCCTAGTATCTACTAAACACTGCCAATTGGTACCGTAATCCTGACATTATGGGGCACCGATTAACATTAAGCCTGCGACGGGCGCCAGGTACTCAGGTAAATTACGTAAGATGACTTAGTGCCAATCAGTAGGAGAGGGCTTTCAGCTAAACCGCGAACACTACATCGGTGAGAACCATATAAATCCAAAGTCTAATGGTTACGCCGCAGTAGCCGAGCGGTTAGAATTGCGTATTGCCATTCTAAAAGCTCGAAAGCCGAAAAGTTGTAGAAAATTAATTTAAACTAAATTCTCTACCTGCGGTCGCCCCTCGACAGGGAATGTTAACCCCTCTGAGTGTATTTCTGACATGAGATAAAGGTTCCTCATTAAAAAATAAACCATCAGCCGTTCGGAGGCGGCTAGTATAAGCTGTAGGTCCCTCCATTTCGTCGGAAAAACATCAAGACGCAAAACCACAAATTGGAGGAGGAGCTCGGCCGAAAAATTGTTTCAGCGGTTAGAAAGTGCCAATTATATATATTTATTACGCCAATTTTTTTCTTTTTTGTTGGTTTTTAATATTTTTAATGCCAGATAACGTTATCTAAAAATTGTATATTTTGTATATACAATATATATGTGGGGTATTCGAGAGATATGCATGTATAGCTTAATAAATCTGTATTATCAATATCACTTTCTCATTATACGTATTAATTTACAACAACTTTCACTCTATTCGCCCACAGGCCATGGCATCACGTCGAAAAATCTGGAATGTACCCAACAAAGACGAGGCCGTACTATGGCTATGGGCCGCACACAACGAAGTAAACGAGCGCTTGGCAGGCGATGAAACTGAAGATCCTAAATTTCCGAAAATACAATTTCCCAGCGTGTCAAGTTGTCCGCAGTGCCATAAGGAGCAGCCGAGCGCATCCTCTAATATAGCCACAATCGATTGGGACAAAGATGCTGTGCTGAGTTTCCTTAAGAACATACACAATCCCGGCTATATTAGCCGATACGGCGTGGACAATGATGCTGTACTGCATCTATCCTTGGATAAGCTGCGTCAGAAACGTATGATTGGTGGCCTTTTCTCCGAAACGGATGCGCGTTTAACCATTTTGTTGTATGGATGCTGCATACTTATAATGGGTTTGGCCGTAAGACTGGTCCAAATGAAGAAACATCGTAAAAAGCCAAACTGTGAAGTGCTGGGGAAGGCGTAAAGCAAGGATAAAAGTGGACCATATTGAAAACTTTTAATACAAAAAATTGTTTAATTCGGAAATCAAAGTGCAATACTCAATCAAATGAATGTGTAGTGTTGTTGCGGTGTGTGCCAAGTGTTTTCCATACGATGAAAAGTCAATTTTTCGCTCTTTGCTGAAAAAAAAAGACAAACCACTCTTTTGAAAAGCGATTCCATTTTTAGTCTAATTTTTATTATGTAAAATATATGTATGTCTATATTAAAGTATGTGCTTGTATAAAACATGTAGAATGTGAGGACTTGACTTTGGTATTTGAAAGAAAGAAATACACAAATACAAACACCTACACTTAAATCGATTCTAATTTTTATTTCTTTTTCTTTTCCTGTTTTCTCTTTTTTATATTATATTTTACTTTAGCGACTTGACCGGTGTAGGCATAATTATTGTAGAGGTTTTTCCAAAAAGAGGTGTGCCACTAATAATAACCGCATTGGCTAGGCTTACAGGACCGTATCCTTTTTTTATGAAATTTCCCTTCACCAAATCGCATGCAGCTGCATGCTCTCGATACCTGCATCAACTTCATCTTTGAGATCTTAAATCGTCGTCAGACTACCCAATCCGAAAACCTTTCCCTTAAAAGATGGATGGTTTGGTTGCTTGTGTGGACGTAGCGCCGTCTTGTTGAAAGCAAACGTTATCCAAGTCAATACTATCAAATTGCTATAAAAAAAACATTATTCAACACTCGATACCGCGATCCATTTACTTTCGAAAAAGTAAGGTACCATAAACATAAACCGCACCAAACAGTAGGTTTCACGTTGCGGATCGAGAGACTTATCTACAATAAATCTTTGGTTTTCCAAGCCACAGTTTTGCTTATTGACGTAGCCATCGAGGTGGAAATGTGCCTCAACAGTCAAGATGATGTTTCGATGAAGTTCCGAACCATTTTCATGCATTTCAAGGACCCAAAAAGAAAATATACGACGTTCTTGATGATCGGCCGGATTGTGCTCAAGTGTAAACTGAACTTTAAGACCCAAGTCTTTATGCAAAGGGCGGCGTAATGACGTTCGTGGAATGCCAAATTCCAAAGAACGATGAGGAATGTGCAAATCTGGCTACAGCAGCTATACTCTGAATCGTCCTTGAGCGACGTGCGCGTGTTTTGTTCATCACATCACTAACTTGTCCACACAGCTCCATTTTTTCTACCGATTTCTGTATTTGGGGCCCGAATGGTACTCGAATTTACATTCGATCGTTCACTAAGTAATTTCGTTTTTTTCGTGTATTTATGTCATGTTTTCTCCATTTTGTTTCAACACCTTTTGCCACCTTTCGTACAAGAGATTCATTCCACGATCACAATATTGTTGATCCTTGCTAGTGGTGATTGACGTCCCATCCAATAAATTTTCCAAAAACCTGAATAGGTAATAGTTCGATGGTACCAAGTTTTGGTAATATGGTGGGTGTGGTAGAACATCAGAATTGAGCTGCAAAGGCTTTTGGCGAGTAATCAAACGACACCATTTCTTTGTATCAATTCTGGCCTCTTTCTTCTGTTTGAGTGCCTCACTTAATTCACTTCAGAATTAATCGTGTTATCATCGGGCATAAGATCCAAATAAACGATCCCTATATCAGCTGTTCAAATGTGTAACGGTAAAGCGGTTAAGTGCGAAGTTGGTTGCGAAAAAAATTCAATAAAATCAGCTGATGTTGTCAAACAAAATTACTTAGTCAACGGCCGAATATATGAACAAATCACAAATTGTACCCAAGTTAGCGTCATAAATGTATTTAATTTAAGCAAAGGGTGTTTTTTACACATGTGGTTTTCAAGTGAATATAAATCGCATAGAATTCCTTATTATAGTCAAGAATTTAACTTTATTATAAATATTTGGGTTTCTCATATCACTGCAGCTAGCTTGAATAAATCCAGTCGAGTGGTGCTGTTTTCGACCACTTTTTGCAACGAATAATGCCGAATGTCAGCAATAACGCGTCGAATATTGCCTTCCAAGGTGGTAATCATCTCACGCTTATCAGCGTACACAAGCGACTTCACATAACCCCACACAAAATAGTCCAGCGCTGTTAAATTGCACGATCTTGGAGGTCCACAATGCGGATAATGCGCACACCAAAGAGCTTCCTTCAATAAATTGTTTGTTTCCTTGGCTGTACGGCATATAGCGCCATCCTTGTTGAAACCAAAGGTCGGCCACATCAACATCCTCTAATTAAGGCCCAGAAAAGACTCATTGACTGTAACATTATGGCAGACGAAATATGGATTAATAATTTCTTCTGCCCATATATAATGGCGTCAGAGCGGTGACCTATGGATCATCATCGCAACCAGAAGTGAGCTTCATCGCTTCATTCTTCAAAACGCTTATCCACTGATCGGTGCGCACTGTATAGCGTCTCTGAGAAAATTTCGAGATAAGAGCCATTGGCACGTAAACGTGGTGCGAAGATTGAGTGCAGCTTGCGAAGTCAACTGAGCCATTATTTTGGTAAGAAAATTTGCACGACAAGTCCGTTCATTATAAAATGACAAGCCAAACAGGGTATAACTCAAGTAACGGTTGTCAAAAAGACCAACTCCGAAAAAAGTAATTGTCTCATTGAAAACCACACGTCTAACAAAACACCCTTCATAACACGGAGCACTGGTATAAAAATTTCACAGTGCCAGCAAGGATATACATACATATATGTACGATTATGTATGTATTAACACAGTTAAAAATTATTTGATACCACAACTCTTTTTGCTCTCTTGTTGCTCAAAATCTCAGGGAAAATTATATTACGTCATCAATACGTATTAAGAAATTAAATACAAAATAGTTTGAGATTAAAATTGAAAATATAAATAAATATAAATATGTAGTTACTATTGCCATGTATAACATTCTGCAAGTAAAAATTTAGATTTAGGCGTAATGATGTTGAAGAAAATCTTTACTTCTTCTTGTGTGTTCGAAAATATTTTTTTAGAAAATAATATTATATGTAATAAAAATTTGGTATTTATTAGTAAAGGTTTATCTTGCAGCTGGCAAACAACCGTTTTAAACAGAAGTGGCAGTGATTACGTTTTTTTTTTTTTTTTTCAAAAAAGTCGATTTTTAAATATTCTTCAGTAATTTTAAAATTTCATCAAAAATAAATTTTTTATATTCCCTATTTATCATATCGCTCAAAAAGTAACTATTACACGAGGTAATAAAATTTACTTTAGTACTAAAATTTATCAATCACTAAATTTTGTCACTATTTCGTATTCTGAGTTCACTGTCACCCTGTAGATTGATACCAGCGAATAGGAGATAACAAAAATATCTGCTGTTTGATTTTGTGTTGTTAGTTTGAGAAAACCGAAATGGGTAGGCATACTTTAGACCTGGAATTCATTGAAGATGAAGAAAAACGTGCAAAAAGACGTGAGTTAAGAAGTTTGCGAGAAACAAATGACCCTTTTAATTTTGAAGATGGCGTTTTCATACAGCTTTTTTGTCGCTTAGGCATATTTTCCAAAATTAGGCTCAAATATTTATGATTTAATAAACGAATAAATTCCATTTCGATATGAAATTTATCGATATGATTATTATTCTCTTTTAATCTACCAAATGGAAAATGTAATTTGGCAAGAACGAAAAAAAGCAGTGTTGCCAAAGTTTTTTCAAACATTGTAACCAGTTCGCCAGAATACCAAATTCAATTTTGGGTGTTAAAAAAAGTAACAAAATTTACATTGCCGGTAACAGTGAGAATAGGCCTATTAAAGTAATTTTATATTTTTTCGTTCCGATATAATTTTTGTATTTCGACTTTTATTTTTTTGCTAAAAAATAATGATTATATCTGAGCTTTAAATTTTCCTAAGTTTTACTGATCAAAAAAAAATCATGGCCTTGATTTTGAAGATTTTTGAACAAAAATAACGATTATTTTTAGCTTTTTATAGTTTTTTTTCATGAAATCCCTTTTTTATTATGAAGTTTGGAATTATAATTTTTTTGAAACACTGCAACATTCATCTCTGCTCGCTTTTTTTTACATTAAATTATTAAAAGTTTCCTAATTTTTTTCTTCTATTTTTCTAGAAACGCAGTAAATTTCATTTCTTTTTTAATTCAAAAAACGCTGGCAAGCAACATTACTAAGCGAACTTGTTAATTAGTTACTTAAAATGTTATTATAAAATAAATATTTACGATTCCCGTTAAATTTGTTGCTAATTAAAATGTCCAAATGTCTAACTTACGCAATTTATAGCGAAAAAAACCGTTACTAAATTAAATTTATTTTTTATTGAAATTGAAAAATATGTATGTCTATTTGTATGCATGCATTCATATACATATATAAATTTAACTGCAATATGCAATATTTTATAGTTTTAAGCATAAAAAAACAATAAAAAAAACAAGCAACAACAAGCCCACAGAAATGCGCCAACTAAATAAAACAATAAACTTACAACGAAGTCTTAAAGGATGAGCCCACGAAATGTTTACACATTGTATATATATACATACATACATCATATGTATGTAGCATATACCCTGCAGAGGAAAATACTAGTTTTCAATTAGAATTCAACTAGTTTACATTTCTACAACAACTAGTTCATCTTAACACGGCGAGGTCCAACGAACTGACAATTGTTCTATTATGCCTCAGCTTCATACTAGCATAATACTAGTTCATTTAGGCATGTTGAATTTCTATTTCACAAAAAAAAAAAAGAAAAAACAATCAAATAAAATTCAGTTCGCCGGCGGCGAGAATCGTACTGGGACCCTTACGCACCACAGTGGAGACCTCTAACCATCGAAATATCGTTAGGATATATAGAGGTACGAAATCTGTGCACTTCAACAGAACTTTTTAGGAAATGAGACTCAGCCGTGTCAAACTAAAAACAAAAGCAACATACGAATGACGTAGAAGTAAAAAATTTCTGTTTCAACAAAAATGAAAAAAATAAAAAATAAAATAAAAATTAAAAATCTCTGTTTCACCAAATATTAAAACTCCTCCAGCGAGGCTCAAGCCAGGGACTTAACGCGCCACAGCGATAACCTCTAACCTACTCGGCTATCACAACGATGCAAAGATTGATGTCGTTCTGCGCACTTCAATAGTACAGAGCAGAGAATGGAATGGTATGCCGATATAACAACAACAAACAGTGGTGGAAATTGTTATTTCTATCGTGACTGGTGGACTTCTCTACAAATAACGAACTGGTGTGATTTCATCTTCAACATACTAGTATTTAACTAGAGTTTCTCGCATACTAGTAGGTTTTCCCCTGCAGGGTACATTCCGAACTACTTCCATACATACCTACAGTTCAGAACGTCATTGTATTTGCACTATATTGCGACCAACAATTTCATATTACATACATACATATATAAAATATTTTATTAAAAAAATAGACACGAGCAGTTGATAATTTGTTATGAGCGGATTGCACCGGCTCTATCTTTGTAATATGTCCAATAAATATATATATTAGTAAATTTAATAATAAATAAATTGTGTTAATAGAAATCATTTCAATTTCTTCTCAATTCCACACCCCAATCACAGGTCAGCACAACAGTAGCCATGCCAAGAACAGCTGCCAGTCGGAGTCAATTGATAAGATAGGCTTTTGTTATACAAAATGTAAACAGGTACGAGTATACTCACCCATATGCATATATACATATATATCTACATATGTATGTATTTACAAGCATATATACATTTGTACTTACATCTATTGTAACAAGACAATGTAAATAAAATCTCTTTGTTAAGATGTCTTAGATCTCTTTGTAAATACAAAAATACATATGTATGTACATATGTACATACATAATTGCTTACTTGTTAACAAGTTTGTTGCTGTTGTTGTAATCGTAAAAATTCACCTCATTTCGGTAACTTTTGCTGAAGTGACAGTCTTTGTCTAGATAAAAATCTCAATTCTTCCGACATAGATACCCAACTATCGCGGGAACTTTTGGATTTTAGTCGCCTTTCACGGCAGGCATACCTTACCGGGGGAAAATGGAAATTCTTGAATCCCTACCAAGCAGTGGTAACACCTAATTTGTTGACTTTCTCAGCACTTATGGTCACAAAAAAATGTTTTTAAGGGATCTTTGATCTCAGTTTTTATCACTTTTAGCTTTTTCTCTTCAGAGGAATCCCTTTCTCTGGAGAAATTAACAGCTATTATTGTTGTAGTGGTTCACAAACCCCACTTAAGAGCAGACGAAACTATTCGGTAAGTTCGCGAAGTCCTCTAATGGAAGGTATAGGAAATGAGATTCGACTTGACATATTCGGACCAGAGACAGAGAAAGACAGAGAGATAGAGAGAGAGAGAATGGGAAGTTAGATGAGCTGGGCTTAGAGGCCATACAAAGAAATGGTTAGAATCATTTCATTGCAGGTACATACATGCATGGTCAAGTCTGGTAAGGTAGGTATTAGGTATTAAGTCGACCATTCAATAACCAGATCTTAATTATGGCAGTACAGTTCGGGTCTCTCGAGACAGTTCAAGTTCTTGGTCTGCAATTGGTGCTACTTGTATTCCAAGAACGGCATTCACTGAAAGAGAGAGAATGAAGATGTTGACGGACTTTCGGTGTCTGGTGTTTAAAGTCTGTCGATACGGCATGGATACCAGCGGTTTCTGTCTAAAATTCTATATTGATTCGTTGTGGCCGAGTACTTTCTACCTGATGTGCTTGTGTCGAGGTTCGGATTAAGTCTGTTGGGATGATTCCGACGGTATGCTTCTTAATTGGCAGCTAAAATATTTTGCTGCGTAATTGATAAGTCGGTGACATCAGGAGGTTTCGTGTCACAGTTTGAGGGCCGTATTTTCATTTGCGTCTCGCTGGTCCCCGACATCCAAATTGGCACAGCCTCTTATGGATAACTGCTGCCTTCAAACGATCCATTTGTTGGCAGTAGAGGGCCGAATTGAGTATTTGGTCATAGGGGAGCATATCGTAGTAGATGATTCCTGGCTACTCCCACCAAACACACATCAAAACCTTCGTGGCGGTTAATCCGGTCTTGGCCACCGTCTGGGCCCCTTCCACGAGCTTTGACCACTACCGTTTGCGCTCGATGTTGTCGTAAGTGACCCATTTTCTATCGCCAGTCACAACCCGCTTCAGAACGGGTCGATTTTGTATCGATTCAGCAGTGATTCGCAAATGGAAATTCGGTCCATTATGTTTTTTGCGCTTGTTCATGTGGCACGCGAACATCGAGCTTCTTTTTGAATCCAAGGTTATGCAAATGGTTCTAAACGGGTTTCTAGATTATCTTTAGTTCCTCAGCAATTATTCAATCATCAATCATTTCCATGATTTTATCGCAATTTTCGATGATAGGCTTCTCGACGCGTGGTACGCTATCGAATTTAGCGGAACGTAACCTAGCAAACCACTTTTGTGCTGCACGTTCGTTTACAGTATCGGGCTCATAAACTAAATTAATTTTTTCAGCCACTTTGGCGCTTTGTAAAATTTATCGATTTTTCTCTTTGCTGGTGTCCACCTTTGATGAGCGCTCACAACGTACTGAGCCAATCAATCGAAAAATTGTCGAAGACAAACAAACACCGTCCGCGCCGTTGTTGTTGTTGTTGTTGTTGTAGCGGTTCGCTAACCCCGCTTAGGCACAGGTTTGATCAGTCTAAGTCGCCGAGATCATTTAGTGGTAGGTCCAGGAAACGAGCTGTTTCGACGGGGTTGGACCAAAGGGAGAGGGGGGTTAGATGAGTGGGTTTGAGGGGACATGTGAAGAGGTGGTTATACATGGTGCATACGTTGGGTATGCTGGGGTCTAGTCTGGATAGATAGGAGTTTAACCTGCTACAGTATCCAGACCTGAGTTGTGTCAGGGTCACGCGGGTCTCTCAAGGCAGCTCGAGTTCGTTGTCTGCTATGTTCTAGTTCAAGCCTGTATTCCTTCGTCCAGCTGGTGAAAAGGGTAGCCGAGGATTTTGTCGGTTGGATCCGTAATTGTCTTGCAGTGAAGAAGTGGGAGAGATCAGCGATGTAGCCGTTTACTTTCGAGCAGAGGTCCTCAATATCCTGTCCGGACGCCATTATCGTACAGTCATCGGCATACGAGGTTAGGGAAACTCTGACCCGCGATCCTGTCTGTGGTGCCAAAGTGGGTGATAATGCTCAAGGCACAGAGGTAAATACAGTTTAGCGTTGGCAACCCGCCGACTTCACTCACCACCCCGTGACTACTCTCTTGCCGCTCATATTCTGTGTGAGAATGCTGAGTGTTATTATATAGCGAAAAAATTTTAGCAAATTACTCTTTACAAAAGTCTAGGATGAAGAAAACATTTTTAAACTTTATAGTGTATTTTAAAGTATATTTTCATAAAACATCACTTACGTCTTAAAACTAAAAATAAATCAAATAAACATTGTTATAACTTTTATCTAGTCCAATAACTTCTTTTTTGATTTAGGAGTGGAGATTGTTTTTAGTGCAACCCTCCGAGGAGTTTTATTACTTGTCATGGGGGTGTTTTGTTTTGGCGTCTTTGAACAGCCTTCGCTCTTAGATGGCGTTTTCTCGTCTTTGGCTAACGTCTCAACGCTTTTACTACTCTGTTCTACGACCGTGTTTGTACCTGCCGCCATAGAGTTGTCTATAGAGTCCTCGTATACCAGACGTATATCTTCGGTGCACTCCAGGGAAGGATCGCTGACAGCAGCTGGTTTTGGGAAATCGGCAACATTCGATTTAACTATTGATTCCTCTTTAACTGCATTAGACTCGGCTTGCAATGGAGCTTCGGCGTCATCTACGTCCATAGGTGTTGGCCAGGCGTCCAGTGCCACTTCTACTACGGCCGAGGCCGATACTGGTGGCGGTGGAGCTGTTATTAACGCGCGTGGTGTACGACGTATAGAAATGGGTGTAGCACCTTTCGACTTTTGCGTTGACGCTGGTTTGGGTTTAACTGTCGAGGATTTGTTAGTCTCACTGCTGTTGGTGGGTGTATTAGTTGTTTGAGCAGTATTTGGAAGAGATGTACTACGTGGTGTACGTCTAACCATTATTGGTGTGACAGGGCGACTTTTCTTTTCTGGTGATTCGAAACGTTCATCGGAACTTAGAATTTCTTTGTCGATAATGATTGCTGCGCCAAGTGTTTTTGTGATTGTCAGTGCAGCTGTAGGGTTGGTTGGGTTATTTTGGATGTTCTCCATAATAGTATCATTATCAGTTTTAGATATGACTTCTTTTTCTTTACCACTCAGCTCCGTTGCGCACTCCGAGGATTTGTTTTCAACTTCTGAGACCTCCATTGGTTCTTCCTTCTTTTGATCTTCAGCTATTTCTGCCAACGGCTCGCGTTTCGTGGAATTCAAATCTTTAATTTCGTCCGTTGAAGGTTTTCTCTCTTTCGTGCTTTGTCCATCATTCTCCTTTTGCTTCTTTACTTTTTTTACCACCACACTTATGTCATTTGCGCTTAATACTTGTGCCGCGTTCTCATACTCCTCTCCCAATTCACCTGCCTCGAACGTAATGAGCGAACAAAAACCATCTGTGCTCGACACCACCACAATACGGCCATCACTTGACCAGGTGATATCGGTCAAACGAGTGTAATGTATATTGGAGATTACAGCAAAAGGCTGACGTTGTTGTGTGTCATAAAAGTAAACTGAGCTACGTGATGCTACAGCGAAAATCATGCGATATGGTAGTGGTACAACTGGTGGATTGACCTCGGGTTTATGTGGACGCAAGCGATAAAGAATCGGACAGCAACGCACTGCCACAGTATACTGTCCCGGACAAGGCAATATAATAGCAGGCTGTCGGAACGCATGTCGACTAAATACGTAGGTTGTGTGTAACGACTGTGGTGCATCATCGGTTTCTGCAACACCAGCAGGCGTTAGTAGCAGTTTGCCATCAGGCGTGAAGCAAAGCCTACGAAAAAATGTTTGCAATGTGTCATCGTGGAAGAGACGCAAACGCTGGCCATGCAGTTCATGTCCTTCACCAACCGGCAGTGAAGATTTGTTAATACGGTATATGACTCGCTTCGTTTGTATATCGAAAATACGTAGATACCTGTAAGCAAATAATAGCAGCCTAATGTAATTACGAAATCAAGTATTAATTTTATTTACATATGTAAACATGTACAAGAATGCGTGTAATTATAGAATAATTTTATTTCATTTGTACTTTACCTATCCGAGCTAAGGGTTGCAATATATTGATTTTTTGGATCCCAAGCAACGCCTTGCACAAACGACTTGTGATCCCGTAGCATTCCTGTAGATTTTCCCTTTTGCACATCCCAAACCATTGCTGTGTTATCTACGGAGCCGCTCACGAGAAATTGTGAATTCGGCGCCCAACTCAGATCGTATATATCTTCCATGTGACCACGTAATACTTTCAACACAATCCACACTTCCTTATCCTGTTCGTTAGTGTTGTCCAAAATATTCAACGGCTCTTGTTCGCTTTTTTGCTTCCAAATAAATACAACACTCTCATCATCACCAGATGCTAGCAATTCTCCATTTGGCGACCATTTTACAGCATTTACTGCACGTTGATGTCGCGTTAAATCAGCAGCTAAGTCCAATTCTATATCCTTTTCATCCTCTGTGTAATTCATGTACCAAATTAGCACATGAGCATCGGTGCCACCAGAAGCTAGACGATGTTTCAAGTTGGACTTTTCAGCGGTGGCTAATGGTATCGGTTGTATATCAACACTCAACACTGGGTCACGATTGTGCCAGGAGATTTCGGGTATTTTGCACTTCATATTATAACTGATTTAATAATTACAATAATTTCAAAACAAAGCGTAAACAAATTATTTCGCACCAGAGTAAAGTCAATTAAGAAGTAAAAATTACATTTGAGCGCCAAATCAACATCACCAGTCCACACATACGAACACACGCCTGTAGCAAATGTCAAAATCAAATAATACGAGGTAGAAAAAGAGCCACAACAAAACCAAAAAGTAGGGCTGCCAGCAGTTGCTATTTGAGACTAATAAAAATGTAGCTAATACCCTAATGCAAAATGTGAGTTTAAATTTGAAGGATTTTGTAATTGGAATAAATTTGAGAAATGGAAACTAGTCGTAACTTGTAATATCACCATATATTTCTCTAGAAGAGAATAAAACAGAGAAATCGTTAAAGAATTTCCATTAAAGTGATTAAAACACATGCATTAAATTTAGTTCTTTGTATTTATTTAAATATGATTGGGACAGTGTAATTCTCCATCAATCTCAGAGACCTTCATTTTACAAAAATTGTAAACGCTCCCATCGGAGAGGAGGTATAATGGCAATATCGCTTATATTTAAGTACATATCTTCTTCTTTATTGGCGTTAAGTACGTAAGTTTTAAGTACATATATACATATATGTAAGTAAGTAAGTTTTAAGTACATATACGTATATGTAATATTAATAATTCAATCACTAGTTAATTCTAATCGAAGTTTATATTTTTATATTGTTTTCCAATTTTAAATAAAACTTAAATATACAAACTATAAATTATATAACAGTAAATCTGAATGCAACTTTCGATCTTGCTAAAGCATATACAGCCCATGTATTTGGTTAAAAAAGAAATAATGGAATAAATATTCTTAAACTGAGTTGTCATACGTTCTTACATATACATACACATATATATAATATAAGTATAAATTAAACAACTAAATTTTACAACGCATCACACAAACATCTAAGACGGCTTTTTTGTTCAACCATTTTGATTTGTTTTCGAAATTATCTTAAGATTTAACATCATCCAGTGCACAACCGGGCGAGGGATGCTTGCACTCCATACATTCTTATAAATACTTGTTACAGCTAAATTAATTTTTTTTTTTGCCAATTAGAAGCGATTACAGCAACATAAATAAATAACGTAAGTATACTTATAGATATTAAACTTATTTCTTTAATGATTTGATGAACTTTCAGTGAAATAAGGATGTTGCATGGCCTGCTCCGCGCTAATGCGTTGGTTTGGTCGACATACTAAAAGCTTTTGTAACAAATCCCTACCTTTGGAATTAAGGCGCGGTACTATTTGACTCCAGGATGTAATAGGCGGAAAAGCTACAATATATTAAATTTTTTTTGTATATATAAATATTTTTTTTTAATCTATGTAAATGTTTTTCAATTTATTTACAAAGCAATTTTATTAGCACTTACATGGAAGCGCCACGTAGTCAGCTAAATGAGTTACACCTGGCCATGATTCTTCTGTAGGCGTGCCAAGTACACGGAAGATTTTCATCAATTGATCCAAAACATCTGATCCGGGAAATAATGGTCGCCCAGCATCGGCAAGTTCAGCAAAAATACAACCAGCTGACCACATATCAATGCTGGTTGTGTATAATTTTGCTCCGAAGAGCACATCTGGAGGTCTATACCACAAGGTAACTACTTCAGCCGAGTAGCACTTGACGGGTATACCAAATGCGCGAGCAAGACCTTAACAAAGCAGATAATTATATTATTTAATACAACATCTAAACAGTATATTAAGCAGTATATTTTAGTAAAACGCATTTCTTTTGCTACCAAGGGTTTCGCTAATGTGCCAAATAGCGTAATACGACGTGAAAAATCCTAACTCCGCAATTCTTAAATAACCGGCTTTTAATATTTCTCTGTGTGGGAAACGCACACTCGAAAGGAACTGTGGAACAAAATAACAAATATGAATGCAATATTAAAATTTCATTACCAAAATCAGCTAATTTTAGCTCTCCATTTTTGTTAATTAATAAGTTTTGTGGTTTTAAATCGCGATGAAGCACATTGTGACTGTGGCAGAATGCTAGACCACGTAAAAGTTGCAACATAAAACTACGGCAAACCGCCATATCGATTTCTCCATTCAAACTATCAAAATACTTCTTCAAATCCTGATCACAATGCTCGAACACCAGGGTCAACTTTTTATCCGAATGCAAGACATCATAGAGACGCACAATATTTTTATGTTTCAGTTCCTGCATACAGAAGATTAAATAGAGTTTATTAACACCAAAAACACATAAACAATTACTTCCCACGCACCTTAAGTAAGCAAATTTCTCGGAGTGCTGAACTCGGCACACCCTCGTCGTCTTCATCTAGACGGACACGTTTTAACGCTACAATTTCCATGGTCTCACGATTACGTCCTTTGAATACAGTACCATAGGTACCTTCTCCGATTTTCTCCAATTTTTCATATTTTTGCATTTTACACTAATAACGCACACAAAACAAAGCTCCGGATAACTTAATTTACAGCGCTTGTAATTTTCTCAAAATTTATTGCGAAAATTTTGTTTTAGAACTTCGGCAACAGTGTTGTTAGCCAAAACAAAGTTGTTTGTTCTAAGAACTGATAAGAAATTTACGGTGCTGGTAAACGACTATATTAATATTATCAAATATATTTAAAGTAGTAATTAATTTATCCAATTGGTGTTTTTTTTACTGAGAAGAAATGTAACTTTTTTGATATTTTTTTATTAACAGTAAAATTTGTTTTTCAATCTTAATGCCTTACTTAAAACTTTAGCGCCAAATCTAAACAGTGTTGCGAAGCTCGAAACAGCTGTGTACATTTTTGCAAATCCCTTTCCCATTATATTCGCTCTGTCACGCAAATGTCAATTGGAAAAAATCTGTTGTGACTGGAGGAGCTATTGGAGCTATCAAAGCTATTTTGCAAAATAATCTAATCAGATGTACATCAAATGTAAATTTTTTCACGGAAAAACTCATATAAATAATTCAGTTAAATAATTGTTTACCTATCAATACTGTGAAAGATGTTTTAACATCGAAGAAAAGTAAGTAAAAAAAAGTGCACAAATTAAAGTCATTAGCCGCAGAGTGGGGCGCTGTTTGCGTTTCTCCGATTTTGCTGTCGTACTTGTAGTCGGTGACTCGCTGTCTTGTTGGCTGATCTGCAAGCAGCATTGGCAAAACATCGTAATCGTTAATAATGTAGCTGGTAGTGTCTAATGGATAGCTCGCCCCATTGATATTTACTCCCCCTTTTGAAGTAACACGATATTTGATGTACATTTGACATCGGTGGCCTTTGATGCAACTGCTGATAACTGCCATCAATTGAGTTGTGTAAAGCAAAATAAAAACCACCGAATATTTACCAAAGAAAAAGCAACAACTTTTTCGGGTATTAGTCAACGCTGATAAAAACAAATCATCAATAATAATTGCTGTGTTTGCTATTTATTTCTCTGTACTGTAATTATTCTATTTATTTTCAGAAGTTCATAATTATCAATTAATAGCCAATCTGATATTGTGAGGCATTGGAGAAAGGAACGCGTTCACCATACTTGCCTCAAAAAAAAAAAGAAAAAAAGTTCAGCAGTATTCTAATTTGACAAAATAACTATTTTGTCACAATGGTTCCGCCAAAGGAAAATGTAGACCTTGAATGTTTTCTGGTGACAAAGCACTCATGGAAGGGTAAATACAAACGCATATTAGCCATTGGCACTGCGGGCATATCTACATATAATCCTGATAAACTGGAAATAACAAATCGTTGGACATATTCTGATATTGTCTCAGCAGCACCAAGTAAAACAACAAATGTAAGTAAAATGCTTTAGTCCTTCAAACATATTTTTTATGATAATGAACGAATTCTTACATCCCAGATACCCAATGAATTTGTGCTTAGCATAAAAAAAGAGAAACGGGTCGATTCTATACGACTATCATCCGAATATCGCAATGACATACTCTGTTCGATATTAAAGTATTACAAAGAGTTTGCTGATAAGCCTAAAAATTCACAAGTGAGTAGATATCAAAGAGTTTGTTCAACAAGTGCTTAGCTAACACGCCCATATCAACATACATATTTATTTATTTATTTATGTATTTGCTTGACCATTTCTGAATAAACATATGTGCATATATATATTTTTATTTATTAAAATAAAATATACTACATATCATATGTATGAATGTGTGTAAGTATGTTTGGAAGTTCATATGAATGTTTGCATAATTTTTGCATGTGGCTGTGTTCGTATATTATTTCTTTTTACTTAAAACTTTGTTTACACTATACATTGCAGCGTTTCCCTGCTTATAAATATCATTGGTCTGGTGTCAGTTTACCCACAATGCTTGAAGTCACGCCGTGCTCATTAGATCAATTGGATCCAACAACAAATGAAGTGCTCACTAGTTATATGTACAAAGACATAGCGGGCATAATAGGTACTCATAGTTCTTTTGTTATAGAATAAGTACAAAGAAAAATTTTATTTGCCATCAATCGGTATTTTTTCTAAATTATCCCAGTTAGCTGAGTTATGTATATAGAAGTGTTAAATAAAATGAAGACAGCATGAACGAAATTAGTAAACAAAAACTAAAAAGAAAGATCAAACTAACATGAATATTGCACATTTGATGGAGAGCCTGAAAGCAAGCAGAAAAAAAAATAATTTGGATTTTAATTTTTCACTGGCTATGTTTTACTAACCAATTTAAAAGTACTCTTTATTAATTATAAATTTACGCTAAAACAAACCTTTTCTTACCCAATTTAATTTGAAAACTTGTCTCTACGATATAAGTAGGCGTTTCCGATTATGATGGCGGCATTGTCATGGCCCATGGTAGTTTCAGCCGGTTGCATCTATTCAGAGCATTGAATCATCATGAAATTGTGCAGAATATTGTGCAACGTTCAGTACAGTTTCTGGGTATAGAAACTAAGATACTCAAAAGTCAAATAACATTAGAGAAATTTGAACGTGAACGTTTCGGTGATTACAGGTAAGTGGCGGAGCTTTCTTAAATTCATAGCTTTTATACTTCTAATATTTATATTTTGCCCACAGTCGTGATCAGTATCAAACTTCTATGACCGAATTCACCGTGCAAAAAATAACACCACGTCATCCGGATCCCGTGAAGCGTATACTTTGTCTCACCGAAGCAACGCTCCTTGAGCGTGATCCACAAACTTATAGCGTGTGTACCCTTCGCTTGCTATCGGATGTATTTGCATTGGTGCGCGATAAGGATAATATACAACGTTTTTGTATAGAATATAAAAATGGCATATTACGTCAGTATTTGACCAATGATCGTGACTCATTGCTAGCTACACTGCTAGATGCAGTACGTTCAAGCGGTAATAAGGATGTGCATGTGCGCATAAGCAATACACCGCGCGGTAAACGTTATGTACCGTTCAATTGTTGCGTTGACGAGGAAACGGAGGCAAACTTATTGCGTCTCATTATTAATAATGTACAAAATCCAACGAAACGTTTTGAAGTACTCGAACGCTTTAATGCCAATATACCACATAGTGGTCTCAACTACAGTGTCACACAAGATGTAAGTGCAAAGCAAACAAAAAAAAAAGTACTATGAGTGCGAAGAATGTTAATATGCTTAACATCTTTTATTTTATATATATTTTTATTTCATGTAGAGCCTCTTTGCCGAGAATAAAGAAAAACTCATCTTGAGCGCTTTGCAAGCGTTGGCACAAAAGGAGCTCGACAATCCAACTGCACAATTAAACAATCTCGAAATTGAAGCAATCTTTCATGCATTAACACGTTTGCTTGCTAGTAAAGTGGGCTATGGCGCATTCACAAATCTACCCGGGTGAGTTGCTACGTTATGAAATCGTTCACACAATTTTCCCGTTCCTACATTAATTTTTCAACATTTTTCAACTTCAGTTTTCGCGAAATTATTGGCACGAAAATTGTTGCTGCATTGCGCCGTAAAGATTTAGCCGTTACATACTCGGCAATAGATATGATAAATTCGCTAATGCATTCAGTGAATGCCGATCATGACCTGAAGCAAGAACAACTGAATAAATCATCCATTTTATCTTCAAAATCATTTCTAGAGACATTGCTGAATATGTGGACAACACATGTGGTATGTTTGCTTATTATTCATTTATCATCTAATCATATAATAGAAAATTTGTTTGTTTTAAATTTTTCAGAGCCACGGCAGCGGCGCACTGGTACTTTCAGCAATGTTAGATTTCCTTACATTCGCCCTCTGTGTGCCTTACTGCGAAACGACAGATGGCAAACAATTCGATATTCTACTAGAATTAGTTGCCGATCGTGGTCGTTATTTATATAAACTATTTCAACATCCCTCTTTGGCTATCGTGAAGGGAGCTGGTTTGGTTTTACGCGCCATCATCGAAGAGGGTGAATTGCATGTGGCACAACAAATGCAAGCTTTAGCTCTAGATGAGGCGGCATTGTGTCGTCATCTACTTGTTGCATTGTACACACCAACCAACGATCCGACATTGGCCACACATCGGCAATTATCGCGTCATTTAATCGGATTGTGGATAACAGATAACGAAGAGGCGATAGAATTATTAAAACGTATATTCGTAAGTGTTCGTCAAATTGAAATTTATTTTAATTTAATAGTTATTCTTATTGTTTTAGCCTGCTGGTTTACTAATGTTCCTGGAGAGTGAGGAGAGCGTACCGAAGACTGATGTGGAGGATGATAAATTAAATTTTCGCGATAATTTAAAACTTGCAATACAACATTCCAATAGAAATAGAAAGAATGTGATAGAGAAACATTTACAGGTATGAAAAGGCAATGAAATTCGTTTATAATTAAGCTTACTGAAATTCGATTTCCCAATAACTAAAGAAACTCGGTACAATTTCCAGGAATGTTATTTTATTTTCAACTGATAATAAATATCTTTATTTATTCTGTGTAAAGAGCTTATCAGTTAAAATATATACAATATAAGAGCTCTCATATTTGATAGAAGCAAGTAGGCAAAACAACCAAAATTCTAATATTAAAGAAAAATGTAATAATAAAATATTGAAATTGTTCCAGTCCAAGTAGTTGATGTGCAGTAATTAGATTTACTCTAAAATATTGAAATTAACATTTTTTATAATTTTATCTATTAAAAAACATATTTTAGTTGTGGCATTTTTTTTTTTGCTATAAAAATATTTAATTTTTTGAATTTCGTTTTTCGGGCTTAAGAAACTCTACCACAACTGATTCTCGATATATTTTTAAGGGATTATATTTTATTTCATATTTAACACTGTAAAAGTACTTTTTCTTCTCGTTTCTCTAAAGGATATTAAACATTGGGGTATGAACCTCTTGGAACAACAAGATCCCGCTGCGCAGGCAATTAAAAATCGTCCTGTCGTATTACGTAATCGGCGTCAACGAAAGAAAAAGGATGATACTGTTTTAAATTTACCATATTTCTTCTACAATTTTTCCAAAGATCACAGTTTGCCGAATTTAATATGGAATCATAAGGTAAATCACCATAGGAGCAAATATAAACTAAAAGTTTTAGTGTATTGAACTTCTGTTCCATAAATTATAAATTATATTTTCTTATAGACCCGTGAGGAGCTGCGCATTTGCCTGGAAAATGAGCTGCGCCAATTTATGAATGATCGCGATTTAGCTGGCACTATGATTGTAGCGTGGAATTACCAGGAATTCGAAGTGACTTATCAGGTAAGTAATTATTTATCATACATACATATGTATATGTATGTATATAGATGTAACATTTGTGAAGGCAACACATTTACCCGCAAAGAAATGAAATAATAATAAAAAGACCCTTCTCCTTTTCAGTGCTTAGCAGATGAAATTCAAATTGGTGACTATTATATACGTCTAATATTGGAAAAGGACGACTGGCCACAAAATCTCGTAAAAGATCCGTAAGCATTTCTGAAACGATTTCATAAACAAATATAATTTCTACATAGCATTCCGTTTTTTTTTTTTTGTAGAATTGAGCTATTCAATGCGCTCTATCGCCGTGTGCTCTGTCGTCAACGCGTCAACGATGATCAACTGACAGTGGTGTCATTGCAGGCGCTCGCAAAAGTATATCGCCGTTATCATAAGGAAATCGGTCGTTTTAGTGATATGTCATATATATTACAGTTAACCGATCGGGTATGCACTCATTTATATACCTGCAACATTCATTTTGATTGATTTAAGTAATATATATTTGTTCTCTCCTTAGTGCCTCTCGCCATCCCTCCGTGATGCACTAATTAATTTAATCTCCTGCCTGGTGCTGGAGAAATCCAATTGCCGTCCACTTGTCGATCACGTGCAGTGCCTTGTTGACCTCATTACGCTCGCACATCTGCATAAAGGGCGTGCACAGCCCAATACGAAAACTAATGTCATAGAGGCTGGTCCTAATATGGAGGCATATGAGGAGAAAGATTGGTATTATAATATTGAAAAAGAGGGACAGAAACCGGAGCGTCAAGGTCCCATCACTTATTCCGAATTGAAAGAGCTTTGGCAGAAGGGTATTATTACACCAAAAACACGTTGTTGGGCAATCGGTATGGATGGCTGGCGTTCGTTGCAACAAATTCCCCAACTCAAATGGTGCCTTATCGCCAAGGGTACACCAATTTATAATGAAACAGAATTGTCATCGAAATTATTAGATATACTCATAAAATGCACTAGCTTCTTCCCTAGTCGCACACAAAACGGCACTGCCGTACTTATACCGGGTCCGAAATTATCACGTAAACTCTCTGAATTCGTTTGCCTGCCGCATATTGTGCAAGTGTGTCTCACACACGATCCCGGTTTGTTGGAACGGGTGGCCACGTTATTGTGTCACATTATGGAAGACAATCCGGAAATGCCGAAAGTTTATTTGACCGGCGTATTCTATTTTATGCTCATGTACACCGGTAGCAATATACTGCCGATAACAAAGTTCCTAAAAATGACACACATGAAGCAGGGTTTTCGCAGCGATGAGGTGAGTTGGAATGAAATCTGTTGTTTTAATTAGATTTTTTTTTTATTAAAATTTATATTCTTTAGACATCACAGTCCGGCATTATGCATCGCAGCATTTTAGGCCAACTTCTGCCCGAGGCTATGGTTTGCTTTTTGGAAAATTATAGCGCTGAAAAATTTGCGGAAATATTTTTGGGTGAATTTGATACGCCTGAGGCGATTTGGAGTTCGGAAATGCGTCGTTTGTTGATCGAAAAAATATCTGCACATATAGCGGATTTTACGCCGCGTTTGAAGGGACACACAATGGCGCGGTAAGATTTATAACCTAGAGTGCTTAAATATTCCTTGAAAAAATTCATATTTATGAGCCAAAAAAAAAGCTAATATAAAATAAATTAAGCTCAAAGTCATAGTCAATTAATTTAGATTTTTAAATGCGTAAAAAAGAATTATCTCGATAGTTATTTTTCATAAATTTCTAATTTCTTTTTACACAGCTATCCTTACCTTGCCATACCGGCTATCAGTTATCCACAACTCGAAAACGAGCTCTTCTGTCATATTTACTATTTGCGTCATTTATGCGATACACAAAAATTTCCAAATTGGCCTATAACCGATCCAGTTCAGTTATTAAAGCACACATTGGATGCTTGGCGTAAGGAGGTGGAAAAGAAACCACCACAAATGACAGTGCAACAGGCTTATCAAGATCTTGGCATTGATTTGACGAAAACGCCCAAACCCGATGAATCGTTGATACGTAAGAGTTACTATCGTTTGGCGCAAATGTACCATCCGGATAAAAATCCCAATGGACGAGAAGTTTTCGAAAAAGTCAATCAAGCATATGAGTTCTTATGCTCGCGTTCTGTGTGGTCCTCAGGTGGGCCCGACCCGAAGAATATAGTGCTCGTGTTGCGTACACAAAGTATACTCTTTGAACGTTATCCAGACGGTGAGTTTGACTTCTGTATATTTTAAAACTTATTAAACTTTTTTTTTGATCACTTCTTATCATCTTTAGTACTGCGCCCTTATAAATATGCGGGTTATCCTCAACTGATTAAGACCATCCGTTTGGAGACACGCGACGATGATTTATTCTCGAAGGAAGTACAACTGTTATCGGCTGCTTCGGAGCTTTGTTATCATACGGTACATTGCTCGGCTCTGAATGCCGAAGAGTTGCGGCGTGAAGAGGGCATTGAAGCACTTTTAGAGGCCTACACACGTTGCGTATCCATACTGGGCGCTGATTCTAAGCCCGATGCACTGCACTATCAAGTGATTTCGAATGTGACTCGTTGCTTCGAGGTCGCATGCAACTTTGAGAAATGTAAACAAAAGATAATCACTTTGCCACAACTACTCTCGGACGTTTGTCGCGTTGTGTACTTTAAGGTAAATATTGAAAATGTGATTTGAAATTATAATTCGAACATAAAAATACAATTTCCCACCTACAGCATACACTCTCTGTAAGCCTGGTGACTAACATGGCCGCCAACAACTATGAACTTCAGTGCAATTTAGTACGTAACGGCGTACTCTGGTCACTTTTGATCTTCTGGTTTGATTACGATTATACGTTGGACGAGAGTGGCGTGCAGGCAAGTGATAAAACGAATCAACAACAGGTAGCCAACAATCTGGCGAAAATGGCGGTACTGGCTTGTATTGCACTAGCCGGCTATGGTTTGGACTTACATAAGACAACGAATGGCACTGATAATGGCAGTGGCGATGGCAATAGTTCACCAACTAACGCCGTGAAAGTAGCAAAACCAAATGCCGCAATCGCTTCGCCAGCAACGTCAGCGTATACGAAAAACGCACATAATCCACTGCAGAATACCGGCAAGCAATTGGCTATAACGGCGAGTGGTGGTGGCTCAGTCGAGACGGAGGCGAAAAATGTTGTTGCCAAGCAAGACTCCAATGCCAGCAACAAATCCGATGCGATTTCCACCACATCGTCCATTGAGCGGGAGGAAAATGGCGAGACGAGTAGTAATGTAAATTCTAAAACAAAAGACTCACATTTGCCGAAATATACAATTGTCTCGGATGCGAAAAATTCAATCGTCAAACAAGTGCTGGATCGCCTGCTTACACCTTATATAGCGAACAAATTGCCCAAAGAGCGCAGCGGCGATGTAAGTTAAAGTGTGAATAGCCGCACGGTATTTTTTTTTTTTGTAAATTATTGTACTTCTTACTCTAATCGCTCCAATAGATACTCAAAGTACTTACATCAAATACACGTAATCCTTATTTGATATGGGATAATGGCACGCGTGCGCAGTTGATTGATTTCTTAGAGACACAACGTACAACCGCCACTAAGGAAACATTCGAGGATGTCGCTGAGGTGTACAATTTAGTATCAGAATTCCAATATGACGCTAACAAGTAAGCATATGAAGAAAAATTTTGTAGCTTTCCGAAAAATGAAATTTCAAAAATTAATTTTCGAAAATCAGAAATCTCTTTAACCAAACTTTGTTTCTCCATACAGAGATGAACTGCAAATTGGCGGTGTCTACATACGCATCTACAATGAGATGCCAACATTCCCCATAACAAATCCAAAGCAATTTATTATTGATCTGCTTGAGTATCTTAAGCAGGCATATCATTTCCTAACCGCTAACAACAGCACTGGCTCGAAAAGCATCATAACTCCTGCTACAAATCTGTCAAATAAATTGGGTCAAGATGGTATACTCACACCCACTTTAGCGCCGAATCATCCACAGCTGCAACAACAACAACCCGTTAAAACGGGCAAAACATTCGATGAAGTACTGAATGCCTATAATCGTTCAAAAATACGCAATAAAATCGAAGCAAATGCCCTTCTCGAACAACAACAAATGCAACAACAATACAGATATGATTTTGCAAATGATGCAGCGTTGCAGGAGCATGTGATAATGGTGCTGCGCGCACTGATGGCGGTAATTAAATGTAACGCCGAAGTGGAGATACAATGTATTGGCAATTTTGATATGATTTTCGGCTTCCTAGCGTATAATTTATTTAAGGATGTAAGTTTTTCTTACATATGTTTTTTTTTATCAAAATTTAAAAGGATTTTTTCAATTTAATAGAACACCGCTGTAAAAACAGTTGCGCTCGAAGTGGTCGCCTTGGTTTCGCGTAATAAGGATTGTGTATCGGAAATTGCAGCCTGTGAATTGCTTGGCCAATTTTTAGTAGCCTTGAAAGATCCCGATCTGCGTGCTAGCCAAGTTAAAGTGCTCGAAACGCTATCTGGTCTCATGAATGTACAAGAAATGATTAAAGAAGCACAACATAAAGGCGCTGTCATTTATTTGCTGGATATGTTTTGTAATTCACGTAATCCGCTAATACGTGAAATGTGCGCCGAAATATTGGCCAAGATGACGGCGGATCGACTGAGTGGACCGAAGGTGGGTGAAAAATGAAAGATGTGTAGTTTTTTTTTTTTGAATCTTTGTTTATATAAAAGTGCTACATGTCAAACACGCAACGCTAGAAGGACCAAAAACATGAACATTCAGAAATTATTTTCTTTTTATTTTCATTTTTATTAATATTTATTATTAATATTTTTATTGTATTTATTATTATTAGATTTATTATTAATCCATTTTTAAGTTACACAAAATCAAGTCCTTTATTTCAGAAGAACTCCAAAGATTATTTATTTTTGGTTATCAGTGATATAATTTTGACACTGTTTAGAAGTCTTTTTTTTACAATTGATTATTTTATTTTTTTTGTAACATACAATTAATATTTTCTCATTAATTTTATTTCTGTTTTTGTTTATATTTTTTAAATAATTTCTTTAAATTTTTCTTTTAATTGTTTCTATTTTATATTTTCCATTTTAATTTTTTTTTTTTTTTTTTTTTTTTTTTTTTTTTTTTTTTTTTTTTTTCTTTTAACTTTTTTTTTTTTTTTTAATTTCTTATTTCGTTTTAATATTTTTTATTTTTTTTATTTTTTTTTTAGTTTTTAGTCTTTTCATTTTTTGATTATTATATTTCGTTTCGTTTTATTTTTAGTTGTTTTTTATAAAATTTTTTTTTGGTATAAGCTTTAAAAAAGTTGTAAATATGTATTCATTCAACTTTCCCGCTATCTCCTCATTACAGGTTCGCATTACAGTCTCAAAATTCTTGCCTCCACTTTTTGTTGACGCTATGATTGAATCACCGCAAACTTCAGTGCAATTATTCGAATCTATACATGAACATCCGGAACTGATATGGAATGATAAGACGAGAGGGAATGTTTGCGATGCTGTTGCGGATATGTGTGAGAGGTGTGTATATACATATATAATGAAAGCATATATTGTTTATATAAAGGAAGAAAATATTGAAATCGCTTTATATTTTTCATCTCAGCTTCTACAGAGCGCAAAAGATCACCGACAAACATGTTTGGAAGGATCCTGAAATGCTCAAAGATATTGTTTCAAATGAAATCGTTGTTGCTGGTGTTTATTTACGATTATTTGTTAGCAATCCTGCGTGGACTTTGCGCAAACCCAAACAATTCTTGGCTGATCTGCTGGACTTTGTTGTAGAGCAAATTAGTAAAAGCTCTTCGGAGGTGAGTTTTTTTTTTAATTTTCTGACTAAATGTTGTTCAGTGATTTTATTTAATTTTTATTTTTTTTTTGTAAAATTTGCAGAAGGACGTTTTAGAATTATCAACAACCGCTTTAGTGGAGCTTCTACGCTCGCAACCGAATTTAGCTGATGATATACCCGTTTTGGGTCACATACCGAAGTTATTCAATTTGCTCGCCGTACAGCCAAAGGGTACACTCTCAGTATTGCATCAGCTGTCACTATCGGAGGTATAATTATGCGCAGCGTTAATTGGTAAAAAAAAAAATTTTGTCTAATTATTTGTTTGTTTTTGTAGTTCTGTGTTAGCGCCGTTTCGCAAACAGAATGCATACTGCCGCTCAAGAAATGTATGGAACATCATCGAGATTGTATGGAGAAAGCTTGTGAGACCTTAAGTCGACTCTTCAAATATCAACATGTGAGTAATTGTTGACCTGACATTACATAAAGAAAATGTTAGAAAAAGGAAAATATCTTGTTGCTAAAATAAAGTGTTAAAAAACAGATTTTGTTAAATAACAAAAATTCAAGCTTAAATTTGTTTCAAAAAAATGCAATACTAATAAGAAGTGATCATCTTAGTCAAAAAAAATGAAAAATTTAAATATTCAATTTTTTTTATAAACATTTTTTTTTATATTTTTAATACTCTGAAACTTTTTAATTTAATTTTATTTATTCATTCTGAACTCTTTATTGCAGGATTCACTCATTACACAATCATTGGAAGTGAATTTGGTGCCATTTTTATTGGGACTCTTAGATAGTCGCCTGGAGTATGTCGACAATGCATCGGCTGTGAAAGCGCAAATTGTAGCGGCGCTCAAAGGTATGACACTTAATCTCAATTACGGTGAGAGAGTAACACAAATATTGCTGAAACATCCCGTATGGGCAGAATACAAAGATCAGCGACATGATCTCTTCATAACAGATACCAATATAAGAGGTTATCTAACAGGTAGGCATCTTATAAAGTTATTTGTGAAAGATTTCTATCTGAATTTTTATAATTAATCTTTTACATTTTTAATAACTACAGGAATAAATCCCACCGCTGGTTATTTAACACAAGGACCAGCGCAAAGTGTAGACGTACTAACCTCACCGCCACCCATTGATCGCGACGATCCGTCAGCACGGCCGGCCATAGATTAATGTACAGTACAAACTATTGCTGTTATTGACAAAAATACGCCGCATTCGCAACTGGCAATCGACAATATTGTCGGATGGCTTTAATCAAGCTACATGGAATATAATATATGTATAAATATGGATGTGATTGACGCTGGAAGTGAATTTTTATTACGATTGGTGCATAAAATGAAGGGAATAGGCACAGAAAAAATAAAAAATAAAAATATGGAAAGAAGAAATGACGCCGCACATAAACAAAAGAAAAAAACAAAACAAAAAAAAAATCAAAAAAACAATAAAGGAAAATAGAATAAATGAAAATGCACCCAATCAATCTATAGCGTCGCAGTATGTTTGATAATTTACTTGTTTTATTATTATATGTAATTATTTTCTTATGTATTATTATGTTAATGTGTATTATTGTACTCGTATGTGTTTGTATATATTACATGCACTCATATATTGGCGCAAATGAAATGATGTATTTCGGAATAAAAACCTATATTATTCATTCTCCATGAATAAAGAAAGTATTTTTTCAAAATTAAGTATATAATTAATGTATCCTTAAATTGCTACATACATATGTACATACATAAATGAATAGAATGTGTGTGCATAGTTGTACTAAAAGCAAATTATGTTTAGATTTCAAGTTGTTTATGATAAATGTATGTATGTAAATTGCTTTGCAACACACGCAATGAACAGTAGCAAAGCAATTAAAAGGCAATTAATTAAATATAATATACATATAAATAAATGAATTCCTGAATTCGATTCTCACAATTTTTTAAGCACACACTCCACTCACACATACATATACATACATCTATATACATATACGAACACTTACGCTATATACACTGAAAGAGATGCAACAATCTTAGAACATACATGGAATTTTTATATTTGTAGATTACAACAATAAAGTTTACAAAAAAAATGAATACATACAATTATAGTATATAACTACACAAATCCACTCACATGCTACAAAAAANATATATATATATATATATATATATATATATAAATTCATATATATTATATATAAAAATATATATATCTAACTTAAAGTGATACAGAAAAATCTTAATAAAAACCAATTCATTTTGAATGAATGAATACACGTCCCATTGATTTGGCTTTGTGGAATTTTAATGTGCTTGCGACACTACTTCACTATTATTTTCTTTTTATTGGCAACCACTTACTTCTCCTTCACTTATTATTTTAATTATTATTATTATTTTTTTTTTTTTTGAATTTTATTTTATTTTATAATAATTTATCTTTTTTATTTTACTTCTTCTTAATTTTTCTTATGCTTTTTCTATTTTATAAATTTTGTTTAATTAATTTTTTATTTATTTTTTGCTTTATGTTATTTTTATTTCATATATTTTTTGTTTACATTTTTTTATTATATTTACTTTTATTTTTATATGAATTATTTATTTTTAATTTCTTTATTATTATTATTATTTTTATTTTTTTTATATTTGTTTCATTATTTTTTTTATATTTGCTTTATTTATTTTGTTATACTTATATTTTGGTTTATTTCTTATTGAATATTTTGGTTTATTTCTTATTGAATATTTTTTAATTTATTTTTTATGGTTGTTTAGTTTATTTATATTTTACTTAATTTTTTGTTTCAATTTTTTTTATTTTATATTTTTTTTTTATTTTTTTTTTTATTTTATTTTAATTATTTGTTTTATTTTTTAATTAAATTTTTTTTTTCAATTTTTAAATTTTTTATTTTGTTCTTATTTCATTTATTTTCTGTTACATTTTTTTAATATATGTTTATTTTTCATATTATATTAATTAATTATTTCTTTTTTTTTAGTTTTATTTGTATTATTTATATTTATATTTTTTATTTTATTTTTTATTCCTTTTAATTTTAAATTTTTTTGTTTACTTCATTTATTTTTTGCTTAAATTTTTGTATTATATTTATTTTCCTCTTAATATTATTTATATTTATTTTTAGAGTCTTAATCTTTTTTATGTGCTTTATTTAATTCCTTTTATTTGTTTAATATATTTATATTTATATTTTGCTTCATTTATTATTTAACTTTTATTTTTTTAATTTTTTGTTGCTAATATTTTTTTATATTTATTTTTCATTATATATTCTTTGATTTTGCTTATTTAATATTTTTCCTTTTTTAATTTATTCAAAATTTTATTTTATTTATATTAATTTTTTTACTTAAAGATTTTTTTAACTTAAGTTTTTTATATTTTTTGTGTTTGTTTTTATTTCATTTTGTTATTTAACCTTTTTATTTTTGTTGTATTTCTTTTGTTATTTAACTTTTTTTATTTTTTTTTATTTAAAATTTTTTTTATTTATTTTTATTAAAATTTTTTTGTTTCGGTTTTATTTTACCGTTTTATTTATTATAATTTTTTTATTTTTAATTTTTTTTATATATTTTTTTTTATATTTCATTTTTTTTATATTTATTTTTATATTTTATTTATTTTTAAGTTTTTATTTTAATTTTTTATTTTTTTATATTTTATTTTATTTTTATATATTTTATTTTAATTTTTTATTTTTTTTATATATTAGATTTTTATATTTTATTTTTTTTTCTATTTCTATTTCTTGTTGTCATATTTAAATTTTTCTTCTTCATGGACTAAATAGTAAACATAGCGCCAATCTTATATAATCTACGGTCGAGGCAATTGCAGTGCCCACAATGCGCCAACGTTCCAAGTAGAGCACCAAAAACAGATTATACCTCTCGTTGACAATGCGAAAGGAGTACAGCCGTTGTAGATAGCCAAGCACATTGAGTTTCTCCGGAAATTCTATGCCATAATGACTAAAATTTTATACCGATTATTACAATACAAAAAAGTTATTCGAAGATCTGCGCTGAACTTACTTCTCGAAAATATATTGTATTTCCGCGTAGGACCAAATAAATATCACAGCTGGATATATGATCGGTAGCAGTATGAATAGCGCCAAAACGGAGCTGACAATCACTTTGAGTATGGTTGGAAATGGTAATGGCTGCAGCCATGTGCTCACCAAATGTTCCACGAAGGGTTGTTGGTAGTAAATAATTTTATTTAATAAGGACATCTGCCGCCACTGCAAATTGTAGAATTTTTTTTTTATAGAACATTAAATCAGTTAGTAAATGTTTAAAAAAATTATTTATTCAATTTATTTTGTACAGGCATTGGATAAAGGGTCATTGCTGTTGTATTCGTAATGCCTATGTTAATTAGTTCTTCTTCTTCCTTAAATGATTATAGCCAAGTATTGGATTTCAATGCTGAAACTGTTCTAGGTGTTGATGCTGGTTCCAAGATAGACGAAGTTTCGCGATTGCGATGACTTTGTTTGATGACAGGGTATATAATTCATCTTGTCCTTGTTCGCTAAATGACCTTTACGCTTGGCTTTCTCATCCTGCCTGGATAAAGTAAAATCTGACAGAGCTTTTGGTGTTGCTTAACGCCAGTTTAGACAGCTGTATAAGTGTTGCAAGGTTACCAAATTCAGACAGAGCGGTGTAAAGGCGGCTTTAAAATCGCCAAGATGTGATGGGTGCCGATCCTCTTTTCACGGATTTTTTTCCATGATTTGGCGCAAGGTGAATATCTGGTGAATTGTAAGTTCTCCAAGCCCAATGCCACACTGATAAGTTCAAATAAGATTTTTGACGATAGGCTTTAGTCTCTCACACAATGCATTCGATAGAATCTTATAAACGATATTGACGAGGTTTATCCCACGACTGTGTGGTCCTGGTTTTTGTGATTTGGGCACATTTAGGTTCCAATCGTCAGTCATGGTTTCATCCGACCATATTTTGCAAAGTTGTTGATGCACGCCGCCGTATGTGAGTAGCTCGGCAGGAAAACCATCGGAGCGCCATTTTGTTGTTTTTCAAGCGGGCGCCTTTGAAGGAGATTCCTCTCATCTATCTTTGTAGATGCTGATACCACTTGGCTTGTTTTATAAAAATACACGAGATATTGACACTCGCTGACACAATATCTGCAAGACAGTCAAAGTAGAAATCCCCGAGGAAACGCTGATGAGCCGCACTTAGGATGAGGCAATGGCAGAGGTAGTGCTCTCCTCTTCTACCCTCCGCATTTATGGCTTTGCAGTCGCAAGTCACACAAGTCATTAGAGTGTGTATCTACCCCTTCTTGATAGCTCGGCGGCTTCGTAAAAAACCACGGACGTTTTGCATACAGTCGAGAGTTTGATTTTGAAGATGCCCCTACACATTTTTGTCACATTTTAGATGGTGTGATTACAATGCAGACACATAATGGCAGCTTGTCTGTCAGAGTATAATATATTGAATCAGATTGGCAGTTAGTATGAAAGAGCTGGTATTGGTCGGGAAATCTCGCGTATGCCGATTGAAAGCGGTTCACAGTGAATTCCGACATTTTCCCATTCCTTCCTCTCTGTAATTTTGATGGAGAAAGTTTTACCAAATCAGAAAACAATAGTAGTGTAGTCCACCTAAGCCGAGAATGGTGTAGAATTTAATATTTTGATATGTCCTGCGCAGGTACCCCAAGATTGAATTGCATTTAGCCTTGTGGCGTTGCAGCTCGCCTGTAATTTGCAGATCTGACAGGGATTAGCAATGCTCCTACAATGCGCATGGAAGCTACTCATATGCGGTCTTAGTCCGCGTGTCTTACCAATTTCCTCCGTGAAGGCGTAGAGCTCTGTCGCAGCACTCTTACTGCTTTCAATCGTATTTCGGTTCCAGATTACCTTACTATCTAAGATTATAGTTAGGTATTTGACTTCGATAGAAACATCGATCTCGAGGCTTTTTAGTAAGTGTGGCTTACAAGCATGCGGCTTATACCTTCTGGTGAAGAGTAGCAACTCGGTATCTGAGGGATTTACCACTTCAAAATTGGAGGTGTTTTCCAGTTATTCGTGCTACTTTTGTCATATTTGGTTGTGGAGGCGCCTCCTAATTCAGCGATTACTACAAAAAAAAAGATTTCACCAGCATCACTACGTTCGCATTGAAGCTGGCACAGCTAGCTGTTTCGACGGTTTAAGAAAGCAGTTTTGGCAAATTTGGTGGTGCCATAGGAGCCGAGTAATTTTCTCTAAAGCCGAGTTGAGTAATTATGAAAAATCTTATTGTTGTTGTAATGGTTTGCTAACCACACTTTGGGGCAGGCAGGACGTAGTCTAATTCATCTAAGTTATCCAACGCTAGGCCCCAGAAACAGGCTATTTTGGTGGACTCGGATCAGAGGGAGACGGGTTAGATGTGATTTAAGGGTTATGCAACAAGGTGGTTATTGTCGTGCGTAGTCTCATTACGTGCAGCACCTACATACTTTGGGAATGTCGGCGTAAAGTCTTGTTAAGTAGGAATTAAGTCTACTATAATATCCTAATATTAATTGAGCTAGTATTGCTCGGGTCTCCCAAGGCAGGTCATCTCTTGTCCTTCAACCCCGGTAATAATGAGGAGTCCTCAACATGCGAGTACAACGCTACCAGGACAGCTACCAGGACAGGCCGTATGACCGGGCTTGGTTTAGACCATGGACTATCTCGGTGCTTATGGTGTTAATCACGGTTAAGGGATTTTGCGCTTTACGGAGGCCATGCTGATGTGATGCTGGACTCAAATTATGTGAGCATGGCGGGAAAAGAATTCGGCCCAGCATGTGGCTTGAGTTCTTGTTTAAGAGATGGAGATCTGTTTAACTTTATCTGAACATGTTATGAAGCAGCGAAAGGAACTCTTTTGAGTATAGCAAGATCAATGGGCAAATAATAAGTCGAGTCCATATTATTCTAAAATTCATCCGTCTTCAAATGTTTCCTTGTAAACATAAGGAGTCATCACGGAATTCAACGAGCAAAATACCTAATTCAAACGAAGGCAAGGACTAAAAGAAAAGTAAACACACAGTAAAGAGACTGAAGTTTTTCTTTTCATTGTTCACTGTGATACCATTCCGAATCCTAATCCGTCCACTCGCTAGTCAAACCAATGTGTGGAGTTGACAAAACAGAGTAGTTGACATATCTTCGGAGACACTATTTCGCGTAAGTCTCCTTCTTCATAGTGTGGTGCATTCATGCAATTCCAAAAGCAGTTCTATCATCAATTTTTAGCGAGATAAGCTAACTTGACCATCTGTCGTTCCGTGTCAGCCAGATTACGCAAGTAACATTGTAACTATTTGAGACTCTTCCATCTTAAGTGAGCTTCTGCGATAAATAACTCTTTGGAAAAGAAGTGCCCTTTTTTCAAAGCTCGTCCAGGTAAGGACCTGGTGTGTCAATGAGCTCTGGTCAGAGCACCATCACATGAGGTGATTTGCGCTTTTGATTTTATTTGTAACCGATTCCAGGTTTCTTAGTACGAGAAGATGTAATCTAAAGACCTTAATACCTTTGCTCAGCACAAATACTCACAATTTTTCGCTGGTGCAATGGTTTGTACCAAATTTTCCGATACATTTTCGCGCTCAAAAAACTGAGTTAAATGATTTTTAAAAGAACACTTTTCAATTATACAGTAAAACATATCCCGCGGTAGATAAAAATTTAAATAAATAAAATAATAATAAAATATAGGGCTTTTCAAAATTTGTTTCTCTGATGAGCTGATGTGTTTGAAAATTAATGTCAGTGTTGGAAAAAAGATTTTTAACAAATTTTTCACCGAATCAATTATAGCCCGCCATTCATTCCTTTTTTGCGCTGCTTGACGCCAGTTGGAAAAACCAAGTGAGGCCCGACCACTCTCCACCTGAACCTTCCAACGGAGAGGAGATCTTCCTCTTCCTCTGCTTCCACTGCTTCCACCAGAGCGTACTGCATCGCATACTGTCAAAGCTGGAGTGCTTTCATCCATTCGGACGACATGATCTAGCCAGTGTAGACAGTGTCCCTTCATTCGCTGAGCTATGTCAATATCATCATTTAGTTTATACAGCTCATCGTTCCATCGTCTAGGATCGTAGTAGGACAATATTATTGGTTGCAAGATAGACGAAATTATCCATGACCTCGAAGTTATGACTATCAACAGTGACGTGGGAGCCAAGTCGGGAATGCGATGACTGTTTATTTAATGACAGGAGATATTGGGTCTTTCCCTCGTTCACTACCAGATCCATTCGCTTCGCTTCTTTATCGAGTCTGGAGAAAGCAGAACAAACGGCGCGGTTGTTGAGGCCAATAATGTCCATATCATAGGCGTACGCCAGCAGCTGTACACTCTTATAGAAGACAGTACCTTCGCTATTCAACTCTTCAGTGCGTATTATTTTTTCCAGCAATAAATTAAAGAAATCACACGATAGCGAATCATCCTGTTTGAAACCTCGTTTGGTATCGTACGGCTAGTAGAGGTCCTTCCCGATTCTGACGGATATTGGGTCAGTTTAGACAGCCGTATAAGTTTTGCGGCGATACCAAATTCAGGCATAGTGGCGTAGAGACAGCTGCTATTCGTGCTGTCGAAGGCTGCTTTAAAATCGACGAAAAGGTGGTGTGTGTCGATCTTTTTTTCTCGGGTCGTTTCCGAAATTTGACGCTTGGTGAATATCTGGTTAATGGTTGACGTGCCAGGTCTAAGGTCTGATAAGGTCCAATCAGTTTGTTGACGGTGGGCTTTAGTCTTTCACTCAAAACGCTCGATAAGACCTTATATGCTATTTTAAGGAGGCTTATCCCATGGTAGTTGTCGCAGACTGCGGGATTGCCTTTTTTGTAGATGGGGCAGAGTACACTTAGGTTCCAACCGTCGAGCATGCTTTCATCAGACCAGATTTTGCAAACAATTATGCATGCAAGTTGTCAGCTCTTCACCACCATGTTTGAATAGTTCAGGGTAATTAGCCTTTAATTAAGTGCAATAAATCTCCACCTTGCAATATATAATTTATTTATAACCGTTGAAGTGATGTACGGCCGAGCTCCTCCTCCAATTGTGTTTTCGATGTTTTTCCAACAAATGGAGGGACCTAGCGTTTATACTAAACCGCCTATGAACCGCTGACGGGTGTTTGTGAGGAGCTTTAGTTCATGCCAGAAATACACTCGGAGGGGTTTACATTCCCTGTCGAGAGGCGAAAAACATCATATAATGTATTCCTCATTTATATTATATATATATACTAAGAACACTAAGAATTTAGATTCAATAGCCTGTCCTTCCGCCTACGACGGCGATTAACACCACCAAAGTCGGTCCCTCATTACGCCGCACAGATTTGGACACCTGCGACCAGCGAAACACTGATTAAAAAGGCACAAGCCTATGAGAACACAACTCTGATGATCGATATCTGCCTATCACTCACCAATGAAACATCTACACTTCCAATTAAGGAGGACAAAGCAATGATCTGTACGCTGTATCGAATCACAACAGGGAGAGAGTACTTGAAATAACAGACTCCACAGACATAACAGTACCGCTGAATAGATAGTCCGTCACACCTTTAATAACTTTCTTCCCGCGAATGGCGTAATCACCTATAGGAGAGGTAGATCTTGGTAAGCGACGCGGGAAGGTCTGGCCACTGTTAGTCAATTCCGCTCCACGTAAATAACGCATGCCTGGCATGAAAAGTGTCGCACGACCCTTAACATACCTTGGCGGGCCAATTAAAACCCAACTCATATAACATCACTTTCCATATGGACCTCCTGTTACAACACCTCGACCAGAAAGGTTAATTCTGTTTGTTTCTAAGCTAGATGGAGTAAGCCGCTTTAACAACAACAACAACAGCAACTTTTGGAGAAAGCTTCACACCATGCAAGAAGAAGTTTAGAGTTCCTTTCCTCCATGGTTTTATCTCTCCAGTCTTCCTACTGAGGAAATATGAAGTGATTGGAGCGAAGTTGTTCCTTGAAGATTTCTATCGAACTTTTCCAAGTGCATCAAGACCCGTCAAGAGGAGCTGTGATTTAAGATTTAAAAGAGCCAATCAAAGTCGCAGGGGAAATTCCCAACAAATTTAATTATTTATCTAATAATCTGCAATAAGGCGTAAGACACAATGGTTTTCCTGTCTTATGAGTGGCGAGCAAGCGGTCCGTTAGCCTTTTTATTCATTGCGTTACCGAAAGTATGACATGAACTCAAGCAGTAGCTCTTAAAAGCGTCATAGCATATTTCGGCTACTTCGGAACTTATTCGAGCCTTTAAGGAAACCTTTTTCATTAGACGAACCACCACATAAAAGGTTAGGTTGAAAAAATAAGAGTTTACACCTACTGAATGCCAGGCTCTAGAAAGATGTCCTTTTAGAACAAAACGTAATAAGGAACCGACCAGTTTCATTCGGGGGAATGTAGCAAATTCAGAAAGTAATATTATTTTGACAGGTTAATAAACTCTGCTAACGAGCCAAAAACTGAAGATTCGAAAAAAAAATATGTGAAAAACTTTTGACGCTAAACCTACAAAGATTTTCGGTGAAGAGACCGGATTTCAGACAGGTCTGTTAACGGGGCATTATCTTTTGTCATCGTATGCTTTTGGTTTAGGTCTGTTGAGCACGTAATCTGTGCACGAGTGTCTAGCATTTGGCAGGCAAATGCGCGCATTCAATCGCTTGGTAGTATGCAGTATTTAGTGTGTTGTTGTTGTTGTTATAGGCGCAGGGTAAAATGTAGTGTATCTAGCAGCACTATGGACGTAGCAACACTATGGACATAACATCGTCTATGAGGGACCATAAGGGTCATCTAGGCCAACCTGACCCAACATGAAAACGAAAAGAGTTATTTTATATCCTTAATATCTATTAATTATACATACATATATGTTACAATACAAACATACACATTTTGAAATCTGGTCATAGTTCTTTAAAATATGAGAATTACATATATATATATCTATTGTTTTTGTTATTGTTTAATAGCGTGGCGGCATATTTTGCATAAAATATTGCATTTGTTGTGGTTGATGTTGACCCATATTAGCAGCCATATGCTGTTGTTGCTGCTGGTGTTGTTGTTGTTGTTGTTGCTGTGCCATTAAATTGTAATTGGCCATTTGGGGATGGTTACCAGGCGCATTGCCGACGCTGCCCATTGGCATGTTTTGTGGTTGCTGTTGCTGTTGTTGTGGCTGCTGCTGTTGTAAATTTTGTTGCTGCTGCTGCTGTTGCTGTTGTTGTTGCTGCTGCTGTTGTACATTGACATTCGTTTGCATTGGCACCTGTTGCTGTTGCTGACCTTGAACTGTTGATAAATTTGGCTTTTGTTGTGTATGTACTTGTTGCTGTTGCTGTTGTTGTTGCTGCTGCTGCTGTTGCTGGGCTTGCTGTTGAACAGCTGAGGCAAGCTGTTGCTGTAGCGGTGGTGGATGCTGTTGCTGTTGTTGCTGCTGCGGCTGTTGCTGTGGTTGTTGCTGTTGCACCAAAGGCAAATTTAGACTGTGGAAGGGAGAATAAGAAAATTTTTTGTTAAATTATTTATATAATTATTTATATATTTATTTACATAAATTAAATATATATTTATATTTTATATAAAATATAAAAACAGATGTTAAAATTTATTTAAAAATTTATGTACAAATTAAATCTTAAATAATTTATGAAAAATAAAATATTATATAAAAAATATCAGAAAAAAAATTTAAAGCATTATATAAATAAATTTTATAAAATAAACAAAAATGATAAAAAATTTCATAATTTCATGAAATATACAAAATTATAAAAATGATTTAAAAAATGAATAAAATGTATTTAAAAAAAATTTAATTACAATATAAAAAAAATTTAAATATATATTTATTTATATTAATTAAAAAAAAATATATATATATAAATATGTATGTGATCAAAGGATTATTTCATAAAGGATTGCACATACTTTTTATCCGTATTAATATCCTCGATATTCAAACGAGTAATAAAACGCAAACGCAGCTGTAGGGCGGGACGAAGTCGTTTAATTATCACCTCCGACTCATTTTTGATAACATTGCCGACGTGTATGTATTTTATGTGATAGCTGGAAGAAAATTTATAAAAAAATAAGCAATGGAAAACAACAACGACAACAAAATCTACTACATACAGAAAATCACATATCGTATCGATATACTCCAGCGGACCTTGCGCTTTGTCCACCACATCGAGCATTTCATAAATCATAATTGCAATGCCCGCCACCGTGTTGGGTTTCTCCAAATCGATACGTTGCAGGAAGGGACCAAAAACATGACATAAGTAGATGAGTTGCTGCTCCGTACGCACACAAGGCTTCAATTTTTCAGCGATATATCTGTAAAACATAAAAGTGCTCATTAAAATAATTTATACAAAAAATTACTGTAAATAACAAAGAGACATACTTAGTCATAGCGGCCAACTTGAAACCGCCCATATGATGGAAGATCGAATGCGCCACAGCCAATATCAAAACATAGCTCTTCTCCAGCATTGATTCGCAAACAGTTTTGAAATTGAATAGCTCAAAAGCTGAAAACCGATATGTCCACTTGATCATTTTCGGTGCGTTAAGTGCATCCTGTAAACGATCATAAATAACAGACCAATGCGTTTCCGGTAATGCTGCCAGAATAATGCCCACAGCATTTATATAATTATGTATTTCCTTTTGTGGTATCAGCGAGTAACCCTTTACGATAACATCGACAATATTATTCGCAACAATTGTTGGCGCCATCGGCAAGCTGAGTAGTTCAACGCAAGTCACGTAAAGTGCATGAGCTGGCGCATTGGGAAATTCGTTAAAACGCCAGTCGGTGTTGAAAAATAAATTTTTGCCTGTTATTGCTATAGGAGAGGAGAAAAAGTAATTTTTTTATAAATAAATAAATTTATTTAAATATTGCAAGAAACTCACTATCCGATAAACGTCGCACCAAATTGATGTAGTAATTGAGTTCTGGATTCCAAAGTAATTCCTGATTTTGTAAAAACATTTTATAAGGTTCACTCACACACCAATTTGGCGGACGTATGTCGCAAAATGCGCCAGTAATCGCGCTGACCTGGATGGGAAGAGAGACGAGGGGAAAATTAAAAAAAAAACATTTTGCAAAGTGCTAATATAATAATGTGCATATAATATAGAATATAAAGAATAATTAAAAATATATTAAAAGACTGTGTACAAACTGTATTTAAAAACTTAAAATATTTAAAAATAAATATAAAAAAATTTAAAAAAAATTAAAAAAAATAATAAAAAATAATAAAAAAAAATAAAAATAAATATATATATAAAAATATATGAAAAATATTTAAAACAATATCAAAAATTTGTAAAAAAAAAATAAGTAAAATAATATTAAAAAAAAAATGTATAAAAAATATATAAAAATTTATATAAAAAAATATATAAAACAATATATAAAAAAAATATATAAAACAATATATAAAAAAAAATATATATAAAAAATATATAAAAATATATATAAAAAAATATATAAAACAATATAAAAAAAATATATAAAAAATATGTATATAAAAAATATGTATATAAAAAAATATATTAAAAAATATATAAAAAAATATATAAAAAAATATATAAAAAAATTGTTAAAAAATATTTAAAAAAAATATATAAAAAATATTTAAAACAATACCAAATATTTGTAAAAAAAACTGTGAACAAACTGAATTTAAAAACTTATGTAAAAAATATTAAAAAATATATATAAAAAAATAAATATAAAAATATCAAAAAAAATATATATAAAAAAATAAATATAAAAATATCAAAAAAAATATATAAAAAAAAAATATATAAAAAAAATATATAAAAAAAAATATAAAAAAATATATATATAAAAATATATGAAAAATATTTAAAACAATATCAAAAATTTGTAAAAAAAAAATAAGTAAAAAATATTTAAAAAAAAAACATAAAAAAATATATAAAAAATATATATATATAAAAATATATATATAATATATAATATAATATATAGTTGGCGCCAGTCAAGACTCCACAGAGACTACGCTCTCCATCGATTACAACTTCAGTAAGGACGAAATGGTTGTATGTGGTACACAAAATTTTTATTCTAAGTCAATGTTAGTTGGTTGGTGGACTACAACTATTGAAAGCTCCGCATAGATATTTGATAGCTTTTCCGCTTATTTATTAACGCTTACCAATTTCTTTTTTAACGATGGTCGATCACGTAAAATCCGTTCATAGAAATGCAAGGTGTTGTACAAATAGGTTATGGGACGATCTAAAAAAAAAATACCAATTAAGCGACTAATCTAACCAAAAATAAGCAAGTATAAGCTTGAGTTTGCCTACCATGAAATTTGTACAAAATACTGAGATGATCCAAAATAACTTCACATATTTGATGCACATGTTGTATGGGCAATTCAATGAAGCGATGGACAACTATATCCAAAACTGGCAAAAATCGCAGACATACATTTGAAAAGTACACCGGTAATGGTGGATGCGATGCCGACTCATCGGGTGCGAATTTTTCCGGATATTTCTGATGGAATTGCAAGTGTTTTTCATGCCTAAAAATATATTTGAATTTTTTTCTTTTCAATATTTCAAAAATTAATGTATAGTAATTACCAATTGTTTTGTTTCCAATGATCCGGATGATTCTCCTTACAAAATTCCTGTATACGATTACGCAACTCCGATGTCTTCAACAACAATAATTGTATAATTAGAAAACAAACTTGCGCCTCATTACCCTCCTGGGTGCGTAAAGCCAAACAAAGTACAACACGATCTATTGTAACTATGTTGTATTTCCAAATCATATTATTTATGGTATCAACACATTTGTGTATGAAATCTTTGCCATTACTATTGACCACTTCGCCAACTAAGTAATCACATAATTTACGTAAATGTGCTGATAAAGCGCGTGCGCTAATGCCCTCTAAAATTCTGTGAAAGAGAAATGCATTAATCGTGATTTCCAAAAAATAATTGAGTTTTGTTATTACTTATATGCCACTTGGCTGACATTTTCCGTTTCCCAAATCATTTTGAAAAGCAAACAGAGAAATAGTGGATTGGTGCTGGGGCGTATGAAATGATTCATAATATCATTGTCATTGGACATTGATGTCCAATTGCGATATTCTTCCTCGACTGATTTTTTTAATAATTGTTTATTTTCTACAGGGTGATTATTTTGTACGAAAAAATCATTTAATGCCGGCGGGAAACAGGCTAAGGAGTGTGAGGCCCACGAGTGTGGTGTATTTTGCATAATAATGCTTAGTAGCTCCTTGCACCAAGGTTGCAATTCGTCGCCTGTTGATTGAAAATATTTAAAATTAAAATAATAAACAATATTTTAGTTAAAAAAAATAAATAAATAAATAGCGGTCACAAACCTAATCCTGTCATGTGCATCGAACGGGCTAACGTTAGTATGAGCACACGATTTAGTTCCTCACTTTCACTTGATGCTACCGAACCAGTTGGCTTCTCACCGAAATAACGTAACATTTGCGGCTGCATTTCAACGGAACCCAAGCCTGTGATGAGTCGTAGTGCGGTTGATTCGAAGCTGGACAAAGGTGTAAAAATTCTTATTCAAGTTTTTTAATTTTGGTTTTTTTCAAAATAAATTTTTACCATAAATTCAATTGCATTTTATTTGTTTGCGGCGACACGACAGTGCAATGCGACAATAATTGCAACCGATACTGCGTTGGTATGTGATGCAAGCGATAGAGAAACATTTCCAGCAGCGTGTGTAGTATACCCCAAGCTTGATGCTTGAAGACAGCGGGCAATAATTGTACTAGAAAATAGAAATAGAGAATATCAGTGAAATTAGCAGAGATATTAAAATTAGGAATTGCTGAACTTACGTAAGAAGCCTTTAATGCCCAACGATTCGATTTCTGTGTATACTAAAAGGCGCGCATAGGTCTCAACTAATGCCGGCGCAGGTATGGAACTTTTTGCTTGTGCCTGCTTAATCATTTGTGTGAAAAAGCTGGAAAAATAAAATTAAATTTTAGTATCTTTCTATTATTAAAAATTTATGATTATTTAATACCTGTGTATTAGTGACATTTTACTATGCACTGTTAAACTATCCAAAACAACCATCGAGAATGGCACTAACGGCACTTGGCCACCAGCGGCAGTCTTCGCATTGCCATTTAATGCCTCCGTAAGTATGTTCATGGGACGTGAGAAGTACTCTTGGTTTGTTGAATAAGCATTGCATATGAGTATGATACGAAAATCATTGCCCAAACTCATGGACATCATTGTATTGGGCATGACTAGGTGCTGTAGAAAACTAAATGAGATATAAATTAATAAATATATACAATATAAATCATGTAAACGTGTATTTTTAAACTTACTCATGATGATTCTTGAGCGCAATCGGTAAGGGTCTATTAATATTCATATTCTCCAGTCTAGCTTTCTTCATCAGGTGTATCCAAATACAAATTGGCGCCATCTGCAGTTAAGCATTTCGTTATTGTATATAATATTACATATATATACATTTACTTTTGCATTACCTGTCGTAATAAAGAGGATTTTGTGCAGTCTGGTAATTTTAAAGGCTCCTTTTCGGGATAAAGCAGGTCAAAAAGTTTGAATGTCGGCAGAAAATTGGCAATCTGTAAATGAGAAGAAATTATTATTTTTCTCTGTTTACAAATTTTTTTTTTGGATTACATACAGGATTTTTTTGTATGCTGCCGGAAATAAATTGAAGTAAAATCCACATTAGTTGGTCGCGTCCTTTGCGTAGCTCTTTTTTCGATAGCTGCATGGAGAGAATATTACTTTTTAAAAATAAAATATATCAAATATTTTAGACGATTTACTTTACCTTCTCATACAGCGCCGTGACAATGCGCGAAAAGCTTATATATTGAAATAGTACAAAATAAATAAGCTGAGACGATAGATGCAACCATACCCATTCATTCATAGAATTTTGCTCTTCGTAAACATTAAAACTACTACCCATCATAGAATCATTACTCTCCGTCATTTCCATTGCCGATATAATTAAATTAACTAATTGCTCTTCTAGAGCATGACAGCGTTGCTTTTGCTGCTTCTGTAAACACATCATAACAGATACCATCTCCTTGGAATATGGTTGATCGAGTACATAACGCAAAAGTTTTGTTTGCTCTTCAAGTAAATCGGCATCATATGGTAAGCTGCCTTTGAAAGTAAATCGCAATGTATTCGGATCTAATTTCCAGCTATTCATCATATGATCGGCATAACCGAAGCACTCTACTATAGGCAACATATGCGTATGACCAATAATGGAAACCATTTGAGCAGTCCTGCGAAATTCTTCCATGAAATCAGTCATCATTTTGTTGATTGTCTGTAAGAAAGAAAAGCATATCAGCGATTTTGAATCGTTTACATGAATTTTAAGCATACCCAGTGATATGGTGGTGGCTTCATAATTTCATTGGCTATGAAATATCCCGGCAGTAGGCAGTTATTACGATCAAATATGAAGTTCAAAGTATCTTTCAAAGCTTGCAATTGTGGCATGAAGCATACGTTTATATTCACCGGGAAGGTTGTCGCTTTGTCGCGGCAATTCTAAAAAAAAAATAATAATAATAATTTAACATATACAATGGCCCTACTTTATTTATTACGCTATTAAATGTAGTATTTTACCTTCATTATTTCGCGTACGCCTTTATAATCCACAAGTGGTAGCACACGCTTTATAAGTTTGAAACTCTCTATCCAAAAATTTGCATTTTCGTACACCAAACGATCGCACAGCATAATCTTGTCACAAAGCATTCTACATATAGCAAAAAGAAACAGTTTATTTCAATAAAAAAAAATATTAAATACGACCATTTGTTGAACAAAATTTTATCACCTTGCTGTTATAACATGTGCCTCCGCCAGTTTGCCTAATGTGTTCATTAAAACGCGGAGATGCGATACATTTGTCGCCGTTGCAGCACGCTGCAAGTACTGACGTACCAAACCTTCTTTGTTATCCTGAGGCACATCTTTAAATTTGGTTACTACAAGGAAAAGGAAAAAAATATTATTTCGTTATTTTTAATTTAGTTAAAAAAAAATTCATCAAAGTGTTTTTAGTATTTTGCTCTATGATATGAGGAAATCTGAAGAGACATCAATTTACCCCTTTCTTCTTCTCTTGGGAGCTCCTCATGCCACCAAAAAAAGTTTTTGTTGAAGCATAACACAAGGCACTTTTCTTTTAACGATATGAAATACTTACATATACTTTCTGTGAATGATGCCGCCTTATCCTCTTCACCATTTGGTTTATAGACAATAACACTAAGGAATGCCTCCTCGATCGGTTCCACTTTCTGTAACGTAGACATGTTTACACATATATTTATAAAAAACGTCGGCTAATGCTTGTGTACACTTACCAGGAAGTTATTGACTGCTTCCAATATTTCTGTATCCATTTTTACTTTTCTTAAGTGTTAAAATACTTTTATAAAACAAAAACTTTTTAACAGACAAAACAACACAAAAATCGACAACAAACCGGCTATAAGAGAAGTTGACAATTAAACAAATGTTTTGTTATAGAGCAAGTGTTGCCGTATCTTTATAAAGCGAACAATGTTTACAAAAAATTTCAACATTATAGGGAAAACGGTTTTGGAGCCTCACTGCAAGATTGCTTTTCGTTATTCATTATACATCTTTAGATAAGATCACCAATGTATATACTCACTAATTCTATTTAAGGAACTTAACTTGAAACCATTACGAATGTTATAAATAGGAACCACAAGATGCAGTTTTGCTATTACCGTATGCTTAATTTTTGTCACTGCTTAGCAGCTATCAATATCATGGCAAATGTTTTGTCTTTTGAAAATGCGCAAGCGCAAACCGCCTGTTCCATTTTCCACAATCAATTAACACAATTTTAAAGCTTTTAATGTTCAAAACTAGAAAATTAAGTAAATTTCGGGCGAACCAAATACTTAACAAAATATAATGTAGTCAATCGCTATATGCCATGAAAGAAAAAGTGGAATCACTGCCTGTAAGGCAAAGTCACTACCTCGCTGAATTAGCCTTGATCAAAAGTAGTGCAAAGCTTAGGAAAACATAATTTCACTGTTGTATTAAATTTAACAACATTATTTAAAATGTCAAAAATTAAGAAAATTGGCAGCCCTGTAGAACAATTAAGAAAACAGCAACCCTTAAAACTCGCTCTACAGAAAGCTCTTATCTTTTTCTCTTTGTATATTTCCCTGAAAGCGGTGTTTGTTTTTGCCTGTTTCAGTAGAATTTTATCATTGGCAAAGTAGTTGAGAAAACTTATTGTATCTGGAATTAAAGTGGGTTTTGCAGCATCCGAAAAATTATAAATTTATTTTGCTAATACTTTAAACCGAGAATGGGTTGGGGATTTGTAACGTGTGGTCCTAATGAAGCACTTGTAGTTTCGGGTGAGTTTATTTATTCAATAAAAAAAAGTTAGAATTCTTATTTGAGTTCTAATGGGTGCCAAGAAAGTGAATTTGTGTGACGTCATTTTGCTTTTATTGATTTTTTTTGAGTGGTATTCACTACATTGCTGTGGCAAAAAGTCTCAATTAATTACATATTTTAATCATAATTTACGTACGTATTCATTTAGATATGTATGTATTTTGCGTATTGAAGCTTTTAAAGAATTAATTTATCAAAAAAGTAAAACTTCTAAGTTAAATAGAAATGACCTTGGGTGCTCGAACAAGTTGCCTGTACAAATGTGGAATTTGTGTAGCCTCGAAGGAGTCACAGCAGTCAAAGCCGCTTATGTGATACATATGTACATGTGTGTCGATTTCAAATATAAGTATTATATGCATATGTAAGCCGTGTAAAGTGCCGCTCTGTTTTTTATTTTTACTTTTAACAAGTGGTTTCTTAGTCACGAGAGGTAGAAGATTTCGTTAGAAAGGGAGATAAGCTGTAAACAAATTTCTCAATAAAATATTAACCTAAATGCATACTATATATTTACAATAGAATGTAATAAATATGTATATTTTTTTATAGGATGCTGCTACATGAAGCCGCTGCTGGTGCCTGGTGGACGCGCATTTGTATGGCCCACCATTCAACGCGTGCAGAGGTTAGTTGTTTTATAGAATGAATGTTTGTAAAAGTTTAATTTTTTTTATTTTATAGAATATCTCTCAACACCATGACCCTACAAGTGGAGAGTCCATGTGTTTACACCAGTCAGGGTGTACCGATTTCTGTAACTGGTATTGCACAGGTGAAAATTCAGGGTCAAAATGAAGATATGCTATTAACTGCTTGCGAACAATTCCTTGGCAAAGGTGAAGCTGAAATACAGCATATTGCTTTGGTAACATTGGAAGGCCATCAACGTGCAATTATGGGTTCGATGACGGTTGAGGAAATCTATAAGGATCGTAAGAAGTTCAGTAAACAAGTATTTGAAGTAGCTTCATCGGATTTGGCTAATATGGGCATTACCGTTGTTTCGTACACCATTAAAGATATACGTGATGAAGAAGTGAGTATTGAAGAAAATATGTCATGGCTTGTTTAAATCTGTACACACATATTGTACATATATACATACATACTTATATACATATGAACTTGCACCTTAAAATTAACTAATATTCTGTATATTCAATTATGATGCGTTGTAAACTCTTTTGTAGTAAACGAAATTTGGTTTATACTAATGGCACATTTTAAAGGATTTTTATACTAAAAAATATGTAAATTTGCTTTGTTTATATTTTGGTTTCGTAATATTTATTTTTATAATTTTGTGTTGAACTTATATTTTTATTTTATTTCACTATAATTTATTTTAATTTAGTTGACTGTGATTTTTTTGTTTTCCGTTTTTTTTTATTTACAATATTTAAACAAATTTTTCTTTCCTTATATTATTATAATACTTTTAGTAAATTTTTTTACTATATGTTTTGATGTTTTTTTTTATAGTTTATTGTCAATTTTTTGTTTAAGTTTTTATTATATTATAATTTATTTTAATTTTTAATTTGAATGATTTTTTGCCAACGTTTGTTTTCATTAATTACAATTGAAATAATTAGATATTTAATTTTTAATTTGCATATATATTTTAAAAAATAATTTAAGTAAATTTTTTGCAGTTTACAAATATTATTTTAAAGTTTAAGTTTTTATACCATAAATTTTTGGACATTTTCAAATAGTTTTAGTTAATTTTTAATTTGTTTTATTTTACTTTAGACTGCGCATATATTATATTTTATAAATTAAATCAGCCCTTACTGCTTCCCTTACACCAGCAATCCCTCTCCAAACCTCCATTATATTCTCTTGCCGCTCAAATTCGTTTTTATTTAGCATTTTAATTAATTTTTGTTTCAATTGAATTTTAGTTAATTTAAACAATTACGTAGCTTTGATGAATATATATATATGTATATATAAATTTTTTTTTTCAATTTTATAGCATTAATATTTCATGTCACTCGATTACCGCCATTGTGCATAGCAGTAATTGATTACATAACATTTAAAGTAGTCTAGTTTGATTGAATTTCAGCTCAATATAATCTCTTCTTTATTTTCGGAATGGTGAATGCATACTTAATGTGATTTTTTGTAAAATTACATTATACATATTGAAGGGTGATTCAAAGGTATGTTTATATTATGCTATATATTTTTGGTGTAAAATTATTTTTTTTTGCAATATATTTTAGATATTTATAAAATATAAAGTGTGTTCCAAATGGAACGGCAATTCTCAGTATAAGCTTTCCGTGTAGTTTTATTCGTAAATGATCTGCTTCATTGACGTAATTATTCTATTTTATCTTTAGTCGGCATATTTTTAATGCTTTAATTTATATGGAACATATGTACTATGTACATATGTATATATCCTTATATGAAAGTTTGTGTAGTATTCTTTAAGGAACATTTTTAAGTATACATCAATATATTTGTAGATAATTTTAGTTGTTATGTAAGCTTGATTAGAGTTATTTTATTATTAATATTAGGTTTCTTTTATAATTATTATTATGTATTTTTTAATAACCACTTTGCACAGTCGTGATATCTGTAGTGTAACTATTTTCGATTGCTATTAATTTTTTTATTTAATAAAAAAAAATATTTTTTTTCTTACTATATCAAAAGAAACTTGTTGAGATTGGAACAATTTTAAAACTTTGCTTGATTAGTATTGCTCAAGGCGCTTAAAGGACGCTTGTTCCGGTTGGATTCACCTTCATAAACTGAATTCCTTCCATTTGGGTCGATCTTTTGTACAACTACTTGCTTACTTCCTCTCAGTGTATAATGTACACTATTCCAGAAATGATTTATATTCATAATAAAATGCATTTCAATGCATGTTTTTTACACCCTTGTATTTGTCTTGTTATAAATAAGCACCTACATTTGTACTCTGTCCGCGTGAGCATGTTCTTTTGTATTTTTTAAATATTTTTACTTTTTAATTTCTAAAATGCCAACAGTCCCACCATACTAACACTACCACAACAGTAATGAAATTTAAATTATTATTTCCAAATATTCCAGGGTTATCTAAAATCGCTGGGTATGGCACGCACGGCCGAGGTAAAGCGTGATGCGCGCATCGGTGAAGCAGAGGCACGTTGTGATGCACAAATCAAGGAAGCCATTGCCGAGGAGCAACGTATGGCATCACGTTTTCTCAACGACACCGAAATAGCTAAGGCGCAACGTGATTTCGAATTGAAGAAGGCCGCCTACGATGTTGAGGTGCAAACAAAGAAAGCCGAAGCGGAAATGGCTTACGAGCTGCAGGCGGCTAAGACCAAACAACGCATCAAGGAAGAGCAAATGCAGGTGAAAGTTATTGAACGTACACAGGAAATTGCTGTGCAGGAGCAGGAGATACAGCGCCGTGAACGCGAGTTGGAGGCCACTGTACGCCGACCAGCTGAAGCAGAGAAATTTAGATTGGAAAAAATAGCTGAAGCCAATAAGATGCGTGTGGTAATGGAGGCAGAGGCCGAAGCTGAATCGGTAGGTTAAAAAAAAAAAAATAAAATAAAAATATATATTTTTTTTTATTATAAATATGTATAAAAAAAATTATTTTTAGATCAAAATCCGTGGTGAGGCTGAGGCTTTCGCCATCGAAGCTAAAGCCAAAGCCGAAGCAGTGCAAATGGCACAGAAGGCCGAGGCTTGGCGTGAATATCGTGAGGCAGCCATGGTTGAAATGTTGTTGGACACACTACCAAAGGTAAAATTATTATTTTCCACAATTTTTTTTATATTTTAATTTATGTGTTTACTTTCCCTCCTACCCATTTAGGTGGCCGCTGAAGTCGCTGCACCATTATCGCAAGCCAAGAAGATTACAATGGTTTCGAGCGGGTCAGGTGAAATTGGTGCGGCTAAATTGACTGGTGAAGTCTTGCAGATCGTTAACAAAGTGCCGGAATTGGTGAAGAATATAACTGGGGTCGATATTGCCCGGGTACGTTCAAATTCTGAATTTATTTAAAAGCCCTTTATTTAAGGTAGACTAACAGCAAAGTATCTACTGCATTTAGGAAATAAGGGAAAGTATCAATTTTTCATAGTACTAACGATGATGTTGTGCATTGCAAACGTGGAACTAAAAGACTTAAAAATAAATATGCATTTACCTATATAGACATGTACGTGGGCTTAGCTTTACATTTTCAGCTTCGCCTTGCAGCAGTATTAGAATTTACGTATGGTGAAAATCTAAATTTTTATTAAGTGCTGCATGCACGTTGTATTATTCATATTAAATTTTGAATAAAAGAAGTACAATTTGCAAAAAAACTAATATTCAAAGCATTAAAAATTGTAAAAAGTATTATGATTTAATTCAATTTTTTTTTTAAATTTGAAACAGTAAAAACTTTTGATGAAATAACTTCGGCATAAAAATTTCCAATAGATATTAGGCGTAGTAAAAAGAAATCCATAATTTTTCCAATAGATGACGTTATTTATCTGTATCTCGGGATGTATAAGTCCGATCGAGTTTCGCTAGATGGCATTAGAAAGATGACATTTCGTACTAAAAAAAAACTTTTCTAAGAGTTTCGAGATTGGTTGATTCAGTTTTGTATGACTTGCCTCAAAGATGGAAAATACGCTCTATTTTACAGTTTTTTTCGATAAGGGTGAAAAGGTAAGCCAGACGGCTGGAAATGTGAATAGTGTTTATAGACCGGATAATGTTACAGTCAATCATGCATAATTTCGGCTTCATTCCGGTAATTTTGATGTAAAAGGTCGAGTCCGATCGTCATGTCAGCATTGCACAAAAAACCGTTTGCTTTATTATTTGGCTATGAAAAGAAAAAAATTAAATCATTCAATGTCATTCAAAAATAATGGATTACTTTTTACTACACCTAATATATATATTTTTTTAAACAAGAAAGAGAGTTTAAATAGGCGTTCTAAAAATGGATTCGACGAAGTTGTTTTTCAACGATTCACTTGAAGATGAAGTTGAAATGAAACGGATCCCACGAAAAACGATTTAGTAATTTTGCCAGTATCATTAATAATTTCTCATTTTTATTTTCTTTAATATACAAATAGTGTTTGGTTTCAAATAAATGTTTGTGTATTAGAGTTTTCTTATATGATTTTCATCTCTTTTGTTATGATTTCTCAGCTGGTTTCGATACAATTTCGATAAGAATTAGAGAAGGCATCGATTTGGTCATAATTTGCATGGAAATTGAGAACGAATTACCCACTTTTGCTGTAATTCGATAACGAAAATTTCTGTGGCAAATTAAATAATTTGGCATGTATTTTTGGATGGCGAATTACGATTGAGAGAGCGAAACACGTAATTGGGCTGTCGTGGAAATGCTGTATTACATTGTTAGCAGTTCTCTAATACTTCGTTCAAGTATTTTCAATTTTCTTGGACGGAATTCAAACGAAAATTTCGATTTGCGTTAATGAAAATCGAATGCAGCTCATAACAAAAAAGGCCAAAAGACTCTTTTTTTGAACGGTTTTTTAATTTTTTTTTATCAAAATAAAATATTAAAATATTTTTTCTCTTTTTCTTGGTAATTGAATTCCAGTTAGTTCAATTCAAAATTTCCAAAAGATTAATGAGTGTACGAGAATTGTATTGTAGCTTTTTTGCACATTTTACAAATGTAAACATTTTTCTATTGAATACAAATTTCATTTAGGAAATAGAAATCAAAGAAGAAAAAAATAGAAATAAAAAAATATTTAAAAATAATTTTTTTCCTAAATTTAAAATATTTATAAATTAATTATAAAATATTTATAATTGTTTTTTTGGGATTTTTAAATATATAAAATTTATTTTTTCGTAATTTAATTTCAAAAAAAATTATTTATGCGTAATTTAACTAAAAAAATACGCAATTTAATTTATAAAGAAAAAATTAAAGGTCGTTCTCGTTAGCATTTATAAAAATAACATTTATTTTACAAGTGTATACATTTTTCCACTAAATAAAAATTTCATTTAGGAAATAGTTTCATCAAAAAAGGAAAAAAAAAATTAAAAAAAAATATTTAAAATACTTATAAAATTTATTTTATAGGGATTTTTAATTACATAAAATTTATTTATGGATAATTCAATTTGAAAAAAATTTGTATGCGCAATTTAATGAAAAAAAAAAATGTTTATGCGCAATTTAATTTATATACATACATAAGTACTTATTTATCTACACTTCACATCTCAAATTTAATTTATAAACACATTCTTTTCTGTTTATTTCAGTCTATGCATGCTGGCTAAATTACAAAACACTTTACGCTACAAATGTAAACAAAAAATGCAAGAAGAAAGAACAGAATAGACGAAAAGAAAAACGAAAATAAAGATCAACCGTGTCAAAGTCCTTAAACCAAAGATTCTCAAAAATTTTATATTAATTAAATACAATTGTTTAAAAATGATGCCATATGTATAAACACTTATTTATTTATTACTTGAAAAATTTATAACTGAAATATACGATTAACAACGACAAACTTTCATAAAAAAAAACGAAAGACCTTTCGGCAAATGACAAATTTGAAAATAAAATCTAAACAAAAGGCGTAAAACCAAAGAAATTTTTCCAAAAAAAAATCACTACAATCCTGTGGAATTAAGGAATTTGGCATTTTGTCTCATTAAATTTAAGCACAAATTCTTGAAATTTACAAAAAAAAAAAAATTATAATAAAAAAAAAAATAAAAAAAAAAATATAAAAATATGTTTATATTGCCTAAAAAAGCATGCAAATAAACAGAAGCGTATGTACGTGTATATATGTACGACGCATTATTTGCAAACACTGTACTGCTGCGTGAATTGCATAAATTTACAAACACACATACATACATACATACCTGCATACATATGTATATCTTGCATAACTTTATAACATTTACAATTTTCAATATAAATAATTGCTATAAGAAGCCATTGTATTTTGTATTTTCTATATAATATAACCAACAACTACACAAACAAATAAACAATTTAAATGATAATTATCAAGCGAATGTTTTTCCATGCAAACGATGGTGCGCAGTCAGTATAGCTTATGATTAGTCAGAGAATTTCATATTAATTTTATATGATTTCAAATAAATTATTGAATTGAAATGAATCTCTAGCAAGTGTTTAGTGCGTAAAATGTAGTTAAAATGCAAATGAAAAAAATGCGATTCGAGATAAAGTTCATACATGTGTACGTACTTTGTACTCAAAAGCTGCAAGGCCGGAGAAACAAAGAAACGTAGTAGCTTTGAATGAATGAAGCTAAAAGAGCCCAGTGCATTATTTTTCAGCATAATTAAGTATTCGAAAAAAAAAAATAGAAAAATATAAAGCGTAATTAAAAATATTTTCAATACATAAGTATTTTTGCACTATTTTTTACTACATGTGCTTTTATAATAAATCACTTAGACGAAATTTCTCTACAACTAGCTTTCAATAAATTTTTTTATAACTAATATTTTTTTTTTTATAAAAAAATTTTTGCATTTTTGGTAAGAAAAAAATGTAGTAAAATTTAAATTTCACAAACGCAAAGTAAGAATGCTTTTTTGGTATGCACTATTCTCATTTAATTACATTTAAAAATTGTAACGAAATTTTTGTAAGAAACTCATATGTATAGTTTTAAAGAAAAAATTTCAAAAATTATTTAAATTTTTTTTTTTCTAAATTAAATTTATGAGTATTAATTCCTGGGTTTTAACAAAAATTTAATACAAAAAAAAAACAAATGATGTAAAACAAATAGAAAATCTTCACTTCAATGAATTTTTTTATTCTCTTTTTAATTGTTATTATTAATTTATTACCGCAACAAAAAGAAAAATAAGTTAACTTTTTCGATCGTTACTTTATATTTATTTCAAAAAAAAAAAAAATTATATTTATTTGCCACAAAAAAAATCAAAATTGTAAACTCTTACTTTGTACTTTTCGTGTCACTCTAAACAGTTTGGAGTTGTAAACGACGAAAAAACCAATTACGAGAAAAATATTTTAATTGTAAAAGAAAAGTGCAACAACAATCCTTGCATTTATCTATTGTAGTTTACTACAATTCACTTTTTTTATATATACACTTCGTCCACTTATTAAATGACAGTTAATTTAAACATTTGTGCAACGTTGTAAAAATTATTGTATTTTAATAAAGTTTATTTTCGCAAACCGATTTCCACTATCAATAAATATGTAGATGAATAAATGGATTTGATTACTGATTACTGTATTTTCTCTGTGATAAGCCGAAAGTAGCGTGAGCTCGAACGGTTATAAAGCCCTAATATATATATATATATATAAAGGCTTTGCCCTGAATGACTGACGGATTGGCCTCTGGTTAGAATATTGACGACTTATATGCGAAAGTAAACAGTTGTCTCGACAACCTTTTACACTTAAGTCTGCACTCCGCATACGACCGCGAAGTCCGCAATACTTCAGAGCCGCAACAAAATCCTCAAACCGCTAGCCCTCAGCACCTGGAGAAAAGACAAAGATACTGTGTTGGCAGCGTACAATGCAATTGGCCGACTGGTTGTGAACTATGCTGCACCGATGTGGGCACCGAGAATGAACGTGTGGAAGACGTACAGGCCTGCCAAAACACCGCCCTTAGGACCACGACAGGAACCTTTCTTGATGTCGCCTGAGCATCATTTAACTCGTAGCGCAGATGCTTCGCTACGCAACCAATTTCTACTGAGTTGCTACCCAATAGACATTTAACAGAGGCTGAACGTCCACTCAGGCACATCAAAGAGGGAGTACCAGATCTGAAGGGCACAATCCTGCAATATGTGCTACAACCGATGCACAGGACTACGTACAGGCAGGCACTAACGCCATTCACCAGGAGACACAATTAACACTTTCAAAAACTTCCTTCCTGTGAATGGCGTCCTCGGAGGGAGCAGATGAAGAGTTCGAGCTGCCACGACAGACCCGCGAAATACTGGCGCAAGTTACGTCGGGGTACTCTAGCAGGTTGAAAAAAAAACTTCTACTGGTCTCCAAACTAGACCCCGACAACTAACGTATGTCCAGCATGTAAGGAGTCCCCACCTCTTTACATGCCTCTCGAAATTTGATTCAGATGTAGGCTCGAAATATTTATATTTATCGTTTGATTCACATGTAAGCCAAGAGATGTAGCTTTGGACCTAAATTAATATGAGAAACACTTTTTTTCCGGGAAGTGGGCGTAGAGCAGATTCGTTGTCTCGTTTTTGCTTCATATGTGGAACATATGTAGATGGTTCTTTGCGAAGGTTAAATCGTAATAGTTTAAGTTGCTTTATAACTGGACCATAGAAAGCTCCTTTCCTATGTTAATATGTGAAATCTTTCTATCTTTTTCATATACCTTAACGTAGTAGTTTATGAAATCTTTGAATTCCATGGGGACGAACTCGCGGGTAACCTCTAGGGCACATAGTTAGCACTGTTTTGCTTAATAGCTTTTCGACATTTTGAAGATAATATTATTATGTCTATCTCTCATCGAGATCCTTGCCCCTTTTGGCAAAAAAATTTAGGCAATCGGTTTTCACAGACTTCCCATGAGGCTAAATTAAATTAGTTTTCTTTGTGTGAATGTTTTACTGTTTGTGGGTATTTTTTAGTTGTTGGTTTTGGTTTTCGTAAATGAAAAATGCGTTTATCCAAAGTCAAAACTATTTTATTTATCCATATGTACTATATAAGATTAGCGCTTAAGTGTACCACGGCGGATGATGAACCTCTGTCAGCTATTTGTATATGATTATGTTGCGTATACGACATGGTGTGTTGAATGATAATAATTTTCTTTAAAAAAAAAAAAACAACATACGGGTAGTTAAATGTGAATAACCAAATGTGTTAAGAATTGTACTTGTTTCGAGTCTTTCCTAATACAGAGCCAGCTCTTTCAACTATCTACAACAACACTTCACAGCTCACCAGGCGAAGTCAGCCAAAACCCCCTACCGGCCTTTCATATAAAGAGCCACCCATTCAAATTGCGACAACAACACATCACAGCTCACCAGGCGACGTCAGTCAAAACCACCTAGGAGCCTTTCTTATATAGAGCCAGCCGTTCAAATCACGACAACAACACTTCACGTCTTACCATCCGGCGTCACCCAAAACCCCCTACCGTTCAAATCACGACATTAATACATCAACAGGATTTTCTCCTTCTCGGTTCGGATGATCTTGTCATGAGTTAAAATCTTCAAAATTTACCGACCGATTTTCTGAAAATTTTGGCAGATTGTTTCTATGGTTTCTGAAAAGGTTTTTGCGAAAAATCTTCTTCTGGAAGTGGACCAGGGACTTACCTATTCGAAAAAGTCTTATTTATGGCAGCCCCAATAGCCGAGTGGTTAGCATTGCGCACCTCCATTATGAAGACCGGAATTCGAGAACAGCCAAAATTAAAGAAAACTAATTTATATTATATATTTATTATTTCAAATTCCCACCGACTGTATTTCTGACATGAAATCAGAAGTCTTCCTAATAAAAAAAAACATCAGCCACGGCTTTGTATAAACTGTGGGTCCCTTCATTTGTTGGAAAAACATCAAGACGCATAACCACAAATTGGAGGAGGAGCTCGGGCGGAAAATCGCTTCAGCGGTTACAAAGCGCCGACTAGGTATATATAAAGGGTAATTTTTTAAGTTTTCAAAAAACCACCTTAAATAGTAATTTGCATGAAATCTTTATTTGAATCGATAGTAAGGGCCATATAATTTAATATTATATTTGAAGAATATTTCATGGAAATGTTGACCGTGATTGCGCCTCAAATGGTCTATCCGCTTAATCCAATTTTGGCATACCCTTTCCAACATTTCGGGCGATATCTCACGAATAAATGCTTCAATGTTGTCCTCCAATGCGTCAATTGAAACGGACTTGTCTGTAGAGTTATTTGATTTCACATAGACCCACAAAAAATTGTCTAAAGGCGTTAAGTCGCGCGAACTAGGCGGCCAATTTACCGGTCCCTATCGTGAAATATAATGTTCACCGAACTTGCCTCTGAATAAGTCCACTGTTACACGTGTTGTGTGACATGTGGCACCGTCTTGTTGAAACCGCATGTCATGCACGTCAAGCTCTTGCATTTTGGGCAAAAAAAATGTTTGATATCATCCCACGGTAGCGCACACCATTCACAGTTACCTTACGATTCGCATCATCTTTGAAGAAGTACGGCCCAATGATGCCACCAGCCCATAAACCGCACTAAAATGTGACTTTTTCTGGTTGCATCGGTAGCTCTTGCAAATGCTCCTGGCTGATCTTGACTCCAAAATCAACAACTCTACTTACAAAATAATCACCCTTTACATATATACTAGGTAGAGTAAAAAGTTTGTTCGGTTTTTATCTAAGAGATGGCGTTATTGTCCACAGTACTAGTATTACGTGTGTCGTATTATGTCATTCTATACCGCGCTGAAAACGTATTTATTCGCGCTAAAAGTTTGTCTTTGACAGTTTTTCGATTGATTGACTCAGCACGTTGTGAACCCTCGTCAAATATGGACACCAGCAAAATTCGTTAAATTTTACAATTTTTCTTCGATCAAGGCGAAAAAGCAGCCAAAGCGGCTAAAAAAAATTAATTTAGTTTATGGGCCCAATACTGTAAGCGAACGTGTAGCAAAAAAGTGGTTTGTTAGATTCCGTTCCGGTAAATTCGATGTCAAAGATGAACCACGCGTCGGGAGGCCTATTTTCGAAAATATCGATAAAATAATGGAAACCGATAAATATTTTATACTATATAATATTTTTATTATAAATTACATACATATTAACCCACAGAAAATAGTCCATCCATCCAAAAACAAATACAAACACACACATTTCCCCATTATAACGTGCTCAATTCTCTATATGTGTGTTTACACTGATTGCAATGTATTTATGTACGCATGTACTGCGATGCATCACTCGACTACATTGTTCCTTCCAAATGATTTTGCTACCGAAAATAAGAGGCTTACAAGTAAGAAATAATATTAAGTAAATACATATTTATTTAAATTTTATTTAAAACTGATTTTTGGTACAATTGCAAACTTACAGGAGTATGGTGAATAATACAATACGTAAGAGTAAGTAAATCTGTGCGTACGGTTGGTACATTTTATTTATTTATTTCTTTCTTTCTTTCTTTCCTTCTTTATTTCTTTCTTTGTTTCTTGCATTCTTGCATTCCTTCATTTATTAATTTATTTATTTATAATATAATATTTATTTAAATAACTTAACTATTGGTAGCATCGAATTTATTTTTCTTGTTATTGTATGTATATATGTTATTGCATGTATGGAGGGGGGGAGCGGGTGGGAGAGCGACGGTTAAACAAAATGTGTTAAATTCGATAATATGATAGAGGAGGAGGACGAGGAGGAGGGGGAGAGAGAAGTTGAGGAGAGATGTCCTTACTTAATGAAAGGTAGGAAAAATTCGGAGTTTGTTATGGAATATGGAATATTCGGTTATGAAAATATCGAAAGTTCAAAAATTTCAAAAGAATAATAAAATCTACTTTCTACAGCATATTATATAAAAATGCTTTAAGAGAACAAGAGAGAGAGAGAGAGAGATAGAGATAGAGAGAGCGCAATTTCTTTTTTTTTACTTATAACTCAACGGTTTTTCAAATTAACACATATTCCATGATTTTCGATGCGAATAAAATAAGCTAAAGATAAATAAAAAAAAAAGAATTCTAAAAAAAATTGAGGTTAGATACAACAGCTTTTTTTTTCAATAACACTACCATTGCGTAGGAGGTAGTAGCAATGCAAGTGCAAAATGCAAAAGAAGAAAGAAACTAAAAAAACAAAAACAAATTGCTATGCTTATTCTTTTATTTATAGTAAAACAACGCTAACATTTTCTCGCCAAAAATGGAAATTGTAATGTTTTACTTAGCAGCGAAAAAATATTTGAATTTTTCTTTAACAGTTATTTCGTAAATATGTATGTACATATTTCTTATTATTTTCTTCTTCTTCTTCTTCTTCTTCTTTAAATGGCATTTGTGTGATGTTGCGTTACTTTTATTAAAATCAATTTTATTAAATTAAATTTTATTATTTTCTGTAGTGCACATTTTATAAAAAAAAAAAAACAAAAAAAAAATCATTACAAATGCAATTTAAAAAATGCACACAATTGTTCATTACAAGCATACATGTAAATATACATAAATTAGAGTTACAAAAAAAAATAAAACAAATAAAATTGTTCTTACCCACCATCAGCAATACAAACAGCAATAATATAAATACATATACATTTAAACATAATACATATATAGTACAGCATACATCATATAATAATTAATAATCAGTAGTAAGCATTATAAATTAATATTAATAATAATGATAATAATAATAGTATAAACAATTTTACACAGAATTTGTGTTAAATGCCATTTTACTAAATACATAAACATTATTTATCATCATGATCATCGTCATTTATTACATATTTATTTTAATGTTTTTAAATATTTTCTTTTTCTTCTTCCTCTTTTTTTGTATTAATTTAATTCTTTTATTAGTATAAATCTATCATTTACATACATTTTATTTTTGTGTACTCATGTTTCTGTGTGTTTTCATGTTTCTGCTCTTGTTTCATTATGATATTTGTTCGTTTTTAGCTTTGTTTTTCTTTTTGTAGTTGTTGTTGTTGTTGTACGGTATGCGTGTTTATGTGTGTTTATGTGCGCGTTGGCGTTTTACGCTAGTAAAAAAATGTTAAAACAAAGAGAATTAAAAAAAAATATGAAAAAAATTGCAAATTAAAAATTTTTGCTGAGTGCCGTAGCAGTGACAACTATAAATAGTTTTTGTGTTGTTGTGAAAGAAATTTTTTTCTAAATACTTAAATGCGTAGTAATGCATAGAAAATGAGTTAGGAAATTACAAAAATTGTTTTTTTTTTTTTGATATTACAACAACAATAATCGCATTAAACTACACTGAGAGACTTTTTCATTAAACATTTTCGAACGAAAAATTGAGAGTTTTGAGCATAATTTGAAAATATTCAAATCACTCGAAGAAATGGTGTTGAAATTTACAAAAATTTATGATTTTATACAATAAATACTAGCTTTTTGGCGATAAACTGAGTTTTAAAATTCTTTTAAATATATTTTTAGAAATATGGAATATTATTTAGCAAATTTTTAAAATAATTTCAACAAGTGTTTGTGATCAATTTTGTAAATTTGTATGAATATTTAGATATTTTTATGAACATACTCTAGAGAAAATTCATTTCAAGTATGTATTTCGTACGCCTCAGGCGGACGTGGCGGCAATTCGAGAATGAATGAATGTGAGAAAATTGAAGAGTTCTTTTTTCATTGTTTTTGCGACATTTTCCAAGTGATAAAAAATATATTCTACTGCGGTATTTGCGAAATTCTAAATAAATTATATTTAAACAATTTTTAATTAACAAATTTTTTTTGTGCGGATTTTGCTGTATAAGAAACACAAGTTGTGGCAATTAATAAAAGAAAAAAAAACAAAGAAAAAAAATAAAAAAAAACATGCAGCTCTGCTGGAAAAAATTGTAATCCAAAATGTACAAAATTAACAATCAAACGAAACATAAACATATACGCAACATAAGTTTTAAGGCACAAAATAAAATTCAATAATTTTCGAAGTGCATAGCGAAAAAGTGTTAAAAAAACAGGACATGAAAGTTCAATATTAAAATAAAAAAAGAAACATTTAAAAGAGTTATATGAATTAAGCTTTTTTAAAAACATTTAAAATAACAAAAATTTGAAGAAATAATTTGAGAAATATTTTCGGTTGCTGCTTGCAAAACGACCCAAACGACTAAAATTTGCATATTATTTCAGCACCAACATTATAGTAATTAATGAAGTTTAATTAAAAAAAATTAATACATTTTTATGAATTAAACTTTAACGAAAAAAATTAAAATACAAAAAAAATTAAAATACAAAAAAAAAAAAATTAAAATACAAAAAAAAATTTTAAATAAATTATATTTTTTCCAGCATACAAAAATTTTATTTAACGAAAAACGAAGTTCAGAGCGAAAAAAGTATTTAAATTAAACACTCAATAAAGTCATATGAACTAATCTTCAGCCAAAACGTTGAAAATATAAAGCGACCTGCGAAAAAAATGTTTGAAAATATTTTCTGCTGCTGATTGCACGTCATAAAACGACATAATTTTCTTTTACATATTTTCAGCACAAAAATTAACGTAATTAAGGAAATTTTAAATATAAATAAAAACAGATTTGAAAAATATTTTGTGCTGCCGCTTGGATGCCACAAAACGGCATAATTTTTCATATTTTACTTTTTTCACAAGCACAAAAAATTAATGTAATTAATAATTAGCTGTAAATCACTCATTTGCATGTTTTGTACGCGCCTGTTGTTGTTTGTGCTAAGTTCAAGATGTAAATTTTTATAAATAAGTAAATATGTAACAGTATATTAACGTGTGTGTGCGTTTATGCTGGCAAATGAAATTAATTTAATTAACTTAACACTATGCATATTTAGGTATGTATGTACGTCTATGTGTGTATGTTTATTGTGTGAAATAGTTGTGAATGTTCACTTTTTGTTTATTTGTAATGGTATGGTCTAAGTATAAGCCTAATTAAATTTTTTATAGTACATACACAAGTACATATGTAGTAATAGTAAACACTAGCAAGAAGTAGTGGAGTGTTTTCATTTCATTAAGTTGTTGGCTCAGTTGATATTTTGTTTTTACCTTTTTGATTTACTTAATTTGCGCCTCTTTGTTTTGCTTTTGTATTTTCTTCCTCTTTTTTTTTTTTTGCAATAATTTGGTATTACTTCTTGTCTACTATTTCTTTGTGTTTGTATTTATTTATTTATTTATTTTTAATTTTTTAATTTACTGTATTGTTTTTGTATATTACTAAGCAATCGGCTTTTTACAATGATCCGGAATTTTACATTACAACGAGCTCTCTGTGTTTTTTTTGTTTTTGTTTTTTTTCTAATTTATTCTTTAAATACATTCATGTGTATAAATTAAGTTTTCATTTTTCTGTTTACAAACTCATTTATGAGTGTTTTATTTTATTTGATTTAGTTTCTTGAGTTTCTTTTTTTTTCTTTTTGTTTGTTTGTATGGGTATTATTATAAAGATTGTTTTTCTGTTTTGTTTTTGTTTTGTATTCATCTCTCCTTTTCAATTATTTCTTAGTAAGCTTAATTAGTAATAAAGTTTCTTGTTCATGTGTGTGTATATATGTATGTTTGTATGTATGTATGCATAGTTGTTTGTTGTATTTGCGTTTGTGTTTTTATGTGTGCGTTCATTTCTTAGTGTGTATGTGTGTGTGTGTTTTTTAATTTTTTTCTTATGCTTCTTGACTAAAATGTACATTTCGCTCTTCTTCTGCTGCTGCTGCTGTTACTTTAATGGCGTAACTGCGTTTTTATTTTAATTTTTCGAATTTTACTTTGTAGCTTCCGCTTTTGGGCTCCGATTTTCTTAGCGCAACGCCTTAACAAATCATTTAACCAGCTAAATCCATCACTCACTCATCGCCACACAACATCAACTCGGTTCGGCAATTTATATGTATATAAATGTATTTTTACTTTTTAAATATTCCTATGCTTAGACATTACGGAAAAATAGTAGTAAAATCTTGCAATTTAAATTTCTAGAATTATATAAAACTAAAATAACTAGTTTAACGGTATTATTTTCATCTATATAATACATAGCTATACATATAGATTGCCGGTTTTAATGTTTTCATCGTGTAGATGTATGTAAATTTTATCTCAGATAAAACTAATATTGAGAGTGGTTCCATATCAAAACGCAATAAATCGATTTTCAGTATTTCAGAGTTTTTGTTTGGACATTACCGTTAAAAATTTAGAAATAATTAGTTGTTTGAGCCAGCATATTTTAGTTCAAAAACTACGTACAAAACGTGTTGATGCTGCAGCATTTCTTTCTTTGTTTTGTAGTATCCGTTTTCTCATGCTACCAAAAACTTCTTTTCAAACATTTATTGCGTTTCCATATAAAAACTTTCCATTAAGCTTTTGAATCATTCAAATCTTTCTTTTTTTTAGTCGATATAATCATGAGATTCATCACATTTGCATGCAAATACATACATATGTAAGGGCGCATCGTATTTGAATCAATTTTCATTTGTTTAAAAATTAATGATTTTTATTTTATTTTATTTTATTTATCTTTTTTGATAAATTCTTCAATTAGTTGCGCCCATTTTGTTGTTTGCATTGGTGGTGACCATTTATAGTGCGCTGCTAGGAGCAGTAAAAATTTCTTGTATTTTAGTTGTTGTTTCTTGTATATTTTGTTTGTTTGGCGCGGTGGTGATGGAGTCCGACAATGAGTTTTTGCAAATGCGTTGCTACTTTTTCGCTTTCTGCTGCACTGGGCTTTTCTTTTTTTCTTCTCTTTTTTCTTGCTATAAACGTTGTTGTTGTTGTTCCTATTTTTGCAATTACATACAGATTGCGTGCTTAATACAGACCGCAGCCGCGCAGATTATTGGCGATAATGACATCGGTAACAGCATCGAAAACAAATTGTATATTATTTGTATCTGTGGCGCACGTCATGTGGCAGTAGATTTCCTTTGAGGTTGATTTGTTTTTCGCTTCGAATTGAGCTTGAATGTATGCAGCAGCTTCACTGTATTCTTGACCTCCTGAAATATGGTAAGAAAAAAAAAATGCATAAAAATATATATTGAAAGCTTAGTCAAGTTTGAAACTCCCGAAGGACTAAACAAATTTTATTATCATTATAAAAATACCATTTAATGGATTTTCAACTCACCTGTGTACTCTGGGAAGCAGATTGTCAATGGACTCTTGCGTATCTTTTCCTCAAACAAATCCTTTTTATTCAAGAATAAAATTATAGATGTATCAGTGAACCATTTATTATTGCAAATGGAATCAAATAGTTTTAGGGACTCTTGCATTCGGTTCTGTAATGAGAAAATAAATAAAAATAAATTAAAAAATATATATTTTTTTTAGTATGAAAATCGAGCTAAATAATAAAGGAGTGCATAAGCAGGGCTACTTCATATTAGTAGAATATCGTTATGGGGAAAGGATTCCAGAATTTTTACGCGACAAAGCATGCTAAATTAACCCCACTTATGAACAGGTTTATAATCAAACTAAGTCACCGATGTCATCTAACGGGAGGTCTAGGAAACATGCTGTTTCGACGGGATCGGACCAGAGGGATAGGTGTGTTAGATGTGTCGGCTTTAGGGGGCATGTGAAGAGGTGGTTAGTGTCATGCGGATATTCTCCACATGCAGGGCATACGTTGGATATGCTGAGGTCGAGTCTGGATAGGAAGGAGTTTAACCTGCTACAGTATTCAGTCCCAAGTAGTCCGGCCAAGGGCTATCACCCTTTCGGCGACTTAGCCAACGAAGCATGCCTGTCGTGAGCGGCAATTAAAATTTATAAGTTCCCGAGATAGTCGGGTCTTTATAATGGGACAAGCCAGATTTTGATCCGCCAAAGGACTGTCACTCCGCATCGTTCCCCAACGACTTATGTCAACTACTTGTGGTAGGACTTTCTTCTAATTTACCCGAGTAGCTGTTTTAACAACAACGTTCTATTCCTTCTTTCTCTTCACTAATTGGCGTCAATTGAAAATACAAAGTACACCCAGGTGCTTCTCTACCTGGTAATTTACAGCCAATACAAATACTCAGTGAATGCCGAAATGCCTGTGGTACGAATACACCGTCCTTAAAGATTATTTCTGACTGATTCCGAAGATTTCAGACCGGACACTCTCCCATAGAGGGCGAGTCCCGAGAATGTCGATCAAAATCTTCTACCGAGTATGTCAATGTAGCACTGGTGAAGTCCAAAATTGACGAAGACCCACAATTGACCCAAGAAATAATGCCAATGCATTGGGCTTAAAAGTCATGGCGAATATTAAGTAATCATCTGGGATACACGAAAAAAATCGAAGTTCGAAGCGTACCACGAAATCTAAATGAGGCCCAAAAAGAGGCTCGCCTGCTTTTGCTAAATTTTTCCAAATCAAATTCGAAAATAGTCAGTCTATCAACTTTGGCAAAGTCGTTACTCGTGACGAATCTTGGTTTTAGAAGTACGATCCAGAAACTAAAAAAATCAGCAGCAAAAGTAATGATGCCAGCTTATTTCACCCGATCTAAAATCGGTAACTGCAAAACGGTGCACCGAAGAGTGCTTACCAAAAGTTTTCAAAAATTTATTGGAAAACAGAAAGAAAGAGGATTTGCGGAGCTACTTATTACATCATGACAATGTGCCATCCTTCACTGCTGAAATAACGAGTGATTAATTGCGATCTCTGGGTTCGAAGAAATACCTTCAGCAGCATATTCTCCGGATAGAGCACCGAGTGATTTCTGGTTATTTCCAAAAATTAAAGGGGAAGGTCTTTAATAGCAACGAGGGTATAATTAATGCGATTAATGCTGAGTTTTAAAAGCTTAAAAGCAAGATTTTGAATACTGTTTTTTGAAGTGGATCTAGAAGTTTGAGAAATGCATTAAATGGCGATTGTATAGATAAGATAAAAAAGACAAAGTTTACGGTATATCATATATTTCTATCTGTATATTGGTTTGTATAGTATTTTTTGTTAAAATAAATTCAAATTCGAATTTCTTAATGAAGATTAAAGTAGGTAGATGCCATTATGTGGCTTAAAAAAATCGAAGTTTTTATTTTTCTAGCGAAAGAAAGGTTTCATTACCACGATGATATTGAATATAGACTCATTTAGTGATAAAATCACATTAAATCGTCCAACTACAGGGTGTTAGGCTCTATTTCGCGTCACTCTCTATGAATATAACTTCTTAAGCTATTCGAAAACCTTTGCAGGGATTTGTCTTATTTGCTGTTTGAGATTTAAATAAATATATTTTTGAATACAAACTAACTTACCGTAGTTTCATCTTCATGCAAGACTTGATCATACTCAGACATGGCGACACAGAAAATGATCGCTGTCACATCTTCAAAGCAATGTATCCATTTCTTTCGTTCCGAACGCTGACCGCCGACATCGAATAGTCTGTGAAGGAAGGTATAAAATAATTAAGAAAGAGAAATAAGTAAAGGAGACCACAAGACGGCTGGTTACTCACTTGAAGTTGAGATTTTTGAATGAAAAGTGCACTTCAACAATACCGGTCGTCTTGACACGAGTGCGTAGAATGTCCTGTTCGGTTGGCTGATAATCCTTGGCACCTAACCGATCTAAATCATCGAGGAAACTGTAAGTAAAAGAAAAAAAATTGAGTTATTAAATCGAAAATCGTTAAAAATTTATTTAATAATTCCATAAAGAAATACATATGTACCTACATATACATCTGTATGTAGCAAAAACCAGGTACATATATATGAAAATACGGATGAAGTGGAAATAATTTCACATTTGACCTTTAGCAAATTAATTTAAATCAACTGATACTTCCACCTGCGACCGAAGACCTCCTGCGCATGGAGCAAACGCATAGTGCAACCCCAATTCAAAACCACAAATTCGATAAATGTCAACCTTCCCCCCCTGCCAGAGAAGCTTTGGCAGAAACTTAAGCCAGCAGTCACGAGGATTGGTGCTCAACAAATATAATTTGCAATTACCTGTTATTGCCATAATTAAGAATAGTGTTTATTTGTGTGTATGCTTGTATGCAGAGTAAGTGCGCTTAGACGTGTGGAGAGCGCACCGCGTAGAAACCACCACAAAGAGACCACAACGGCGCTAATAAAACTTGATGGCTCTGATGTGCTTTCACTATCACTTGTGGGAATGCAATTCAAAATGCATATATTTCAAAGTTAATCCACCTTCAGGTGGGCACTTGAAGCATATGCAGGAGACACCCTATGGAGAAGATGAAGCAGCAAATTATTGAAAAAAAACAGGCTGTACATCTAATATGCGAGATGGTTGAGTTTGGCCTTAGGTAGAAGTGGCGCCCCAGCTGTTGTGATGACACACAGAATGACCTGAGCTCTCACTAAGTGTGAGAGTTTTTATCTTGAAAAGAAGTCGAGCTTCTCTGATCTTCAACGGTCCTACTTGGGCCGGAAAGATCTCGCAACCGGGCATGTTAAAATGCTTGCCCAGCCTTCGTTAAGTTGATATAAAGCTCACCTGTACAGCAGCCGACTGCAAGTTAACAGAGTAATATCCATTTGAGCTTGTGCGGGAGCGGTGGTGTCCATACATACGTGCAAGCAATAATTTTTTTTACAATTTTTGAGCTAAGCCATGTCCATAATAGCTCATATCTGACTAAACGTCAGCCTGCCCCATAGAAATCCCATTGCGAAGCAGTGTGTCCGATGCTTGCTTTGTAGCAGCTATTTCCGGGAAAATATTGCAATGCTCTGAAAGTCTAAACCCTGCGTCGGTAGTGTGATGAAGTTAAGCGCTTCTTCCCTCCAATTGTTCTGTGCCCACCAGTACTAATATAAAGGGATTAAGGTGGAGAAGAAGCCGCCCGGCGTCAGGTCGGAGATACAATAATCCAAGAAACTGAGGTTGAAATCGAGTCCCTCAAAAATAGCGTAGACCCGAACTTCCAGAGCCTTGTAACGATTTTTGCAAAGATAGAGAGCCTGATACTATTTTCGAGACTGAATATGGAATGACAACTGGTCTAAAAATAATACAAAAATCTCTCTTTGAGACTGGAGAGTGCTCACTGCTTACTGTGTGCTGTGAACTATAAATTCGATTAAGTAAAACATTACAAAATGGGCATCATACTAAAGAGATTTCTGTAACATTAAGTTCTGAGCACTTAGGCCTCAGCATAGTCAGTAAAAATAAATTAAGTTCAAGTTACCTACAGTACAGGTTCGAATTAAGCATTTGGCCGTAGTAGAGCAGCTTAAGGTGGATGATTCCCTGCCCAGTGCCACCAAACGCGGAACAAAATCACCTAATTTGGACGATGTTTGTGTCGGCCTTTCGGCAATGTTAGTTTTCGTTTGATGTTGCTGTAAGTGATTCACCATTCATCACCCGTCACCAGCCGCTTCAAAAATGGGTAAATTTTTTTTACGATGCAGCAGCGATAGGCAGATAGAAATTTGGTCCATGGGGTTTTTTATCGTTAACTCAGGTGGCACCTAGACATGGAGTGTTCAGCATTTTTTTTTAAGTGGTTCAAAACAGTTCCTGGGCAATCGAAACAGTACTCGTATGGCGGTCAGCCTTGACGATTTTCATTATTTTATGGACATTTTCTACAAATGCCCGAAATATTTATATTTATACAACCGAAAGTTTAGTGGCAACTCTTATCTGCCCCTCACCGTTGCCTGTCACTCTTTGCTTGCCTTACAGTCGAAGCCCAAAAGTGGTGACCAAATGCCGGCTGGCTGTACCTGCTTTGCTGTGACAACAGTCAGAACTGCATAGAACTATACCAAGAAGAGCATTCGAGCAGAGACCAAATGTAGGTTTGCTTTATTTATTATTTATTGTTTTAAAGGTGTACATTTGAAAAAGAATTTCTAAAATTTTCTTAAGAAAATATTTAAAGCTACGCTATGGTGACGACATATCCAGTGAACCCTCGGAAAAAGGCCCGACTCCGTTGACAGTGAAACTCATGTCAGGATCATCAGAGGTGGAGAAAAAGTAACATTGTGTTTCAGTTCCAGAATGCAGACGAAAGAAAAAAAAAGTGTTAACTAGATCTTTTGGCAGACCTCTTGTTTTATACAATTGTATTTAACAAAAAAAAAACCATTCATCGTTGAGTTGTATGTTGGAAGATTTGTGTAAAATTTCGGCAAAATTGGTTGAGCAAAGTTTCGAGAAAAATGGGTTTAAAGTTTAAAGCGCTGCGCTGAGCTTACCTGCCTTTGAGCACTCGTCTTCTCAAGGCGGTATCTCCGAATCTTTTATGTGGATCGTCGACTTGAGAATTTGGGATAATATTTTCGATACAATAACAAAATTTCGATTTTTTGGTACTCGCAACGCCTTAAGGGGGCCCTTCATCCCTGATATTGGGCAAAAATCAGGCAAAGTTTGTATTTTTTTTGTGGCGGAACGAAAAGGTGTACGAATTTTCGGTTTTGACTATTAAATCTGTTTATGATTTGAGATTTTAAAACGGCAAAAAATAGCTGAAATTCAAAATGATGGCTACAAAATGATGCTTTTCGTCGGCCTCTGCGTCAACAACATGGCTCAACAATTTCAAGCCTACAGCCGCTTGTGGTAGACTGAAATGAAATATCATTGTCATTACTTGAAGATCATGAAATTTTCTACGTCCTGCACCTCAATTGAAACAATTTTAACGATAAATTTATTGCATAATGCTTATTGCAATTATAAAGTTAAATTTTTTTGATACTTTTTTCCACTTTAATTGCGTTAAACAAATCAAAATAATTAATTATTAATGCTAGTCTTGGGTATAAGAGACTATATACTATGAAACAGTTTTTAGATAAAAGAAATCGGACGGATAGATCAAGCCCGGCGCTTGAAGTTAGATCGGAAAATTTGGTTTCGAGAAAAACGCGTTCAAAGTTTTTTGAAAGTTCGCAGCGAGCGTGAGACAGGTGTGTTCGAGAAACTGCCATTTGAAGAACATGCATCGTATTGAAAAATCTCTTCCAAAACATACTCTACAAATATATGGCTCTAATGTTTTGCGAAAAAAAAATCGATTTTTTTTTATTGAAAATCAGGGGGGGTCCCAATAAATGAGATTTTGTTATAAAGAAACATTAGCTAATTCCTCTTCTTTATTTGCCTACATCCAAATAAGCTCACCATTGTCTACATTTTACTCTTATTTTACTCATACTTTTTGTTTTTACTTATTCTATTATTGTATATTTTAAAGTTTTATTGTATGAGGTGTGACTTTTTCTAAACTAAAACAAAATTCGACCTTCGAGTTTAATTAACCAAAAGAATTATTTGCCAACTAACAAGATGATGTTAATTTTTACACATGCAAGAGGACAGAAACTAAGTAATTTACTAAATTTTTGTAGAATATTAACTTTGAGAAGGTGCATACATATGTATGTATGCACGTGTAACAACCAGAGAAAAATAAGGGTCAAGTAAAAAGTAATCCATTAATTTTCTATTAATTTGAAGGGGCTTTATTTACCGTAGTTAGAATTATCCGATTTATGTAATAATTATGTATGTAATATGTATTTACTTTATAACTTTTGACCTCTTACATAACCCTGCTATCCGTGGGCAAAAAGTTGGAACAATACAAGTGTACAACTTTGCTTCCGCCGTTTTCCGATAGGTGGCTGTACCGGCTGATGCTGGTTGAAATATATACAATAGATGAAAATGCCTTTAAAGTGAGTATGGACAGTGCCTAACGAATTGTCATCGCCGTTTCAGTGACAGTTGTTCTTGTTGAAGCGCATCGAAACGCAGAAAATCATGGGGAAAACCCGGGCATGCTTCTTCGTCGAAGGCAAATCCGAAGATTCACGGCGCCAAGGTTATGATTTGTATTTGGTGGGATCAGCTCGGTGTGATTTACTACGAGCTCTTAAAACTGATGCGCCTCAGTCGCGCGCTAAAAGAAAAGCGGCCACAATATCAAGAGCGACATGACAAAGTCATCCTCCAACACGACAATGCTCGGCCTCACGTCGCAAAAGTGGTCAAAAAGTACCTGGAAATGATGAAATGGGAAGTCTTGCCCCACCCGCCGTATTCCCCAGATGTCGCCCCATCTGACTTCAACCTATTCCTGGCACATCAACATTTTCAATCCTTCGAAGAATTGGAAAAATGGATTGCTTCATGGATAGCGTCAGAAGAGGACTCCTTTCTTCGAGCCGGGATCCGAAAATTGCCGGAAAGATGAGAGAAAGTTGTCGCTAACGAAGGACAATACTTTGAATAATATATTTGTAAGCACTTTTTCGCAATAAAGCTTTTAATTTTGGAAAAAAACGGCGGAAGTAAAGTTGTACACCTGATAGATTTTCACAGACTTTTTTTGAGGCCAATTCTTCACTAGCCAGCTCGTACGCCATAGACAAGAGCTGTTGGTAATTATTTGGTGCGTGCTCCGAACTATAAGGTGAATGCATTAGAAACTGATAAAAACCCTTCCCGAAGCTGCTGGCAAGTCTCCATCGATGTGTATGTTCTGGCGTTACCCTGATGAGAAACATCACGAAACACGCGAAAGTTGACAGCTTCTCGGTAATTGTTTCCCTCAGACGGTTCAATTACCGACAGTACAGG